GGGTGGGAAGGGGGGGGGGGGGGGGGTGTGCGGTATGTGCTCAAGTGTCAAGTCTAAAGGACGAAGGCGACGGTGGCGCGACCTAGAGGGAAAATTGCCAGGCGCCGGAAGTAATAAGAGAAGCAGCCCACCTAGTCTCCTTCGCGGAATCAATTCTAATCTTTTGCCATTAGACAAAGGGGAATTCTTAACCGCCGATTTCTCTTTAAGGTCCTCCCATTGGGCCTCCAACGCTGTTCCGAGCACCTTCAATGTTATAGCCTGACGCGGTTCGTGACCCGACGGAATGAATTTCAGGACATTTTGTATTCCGGTCGAGGGCGAGACTTTTTTAATACATCTCCTATTAGGAACACAATGGCGTTCATTACTATTTTACTATTACGCTACGACGCGACTTTTTAATGCCCGTCACGATTGCGCTGTCGCACACGACAGAATGCTAAGGATTTAGCCTATGACCGTGCTGACTTCTCCGGCGTATCGTTCCATGCATTTTGATAATGTTTATCGAGCCAAGAACTTTGCTAATGTCGTCTCTACGTGATTCAGCCACGTGCTCACCAGCCAACTACCACAGTTTCGATTATCGGGGAAGAATAAAAGAAAAAAGAAAAAAAAAACAAGTGACGCACGCTTCGGGTTAAAAAATCGATAAAGAAAGTCGTGGAAAATATAGTGACCTCCAAGAAATTCTTAATCGATTTAAGAATTTTGAATTTCAATGTGCAAACAGTGGTGCACTCTGGTGTCAACCCTTAGTACACGGAATGTTGTCGACTGCGCCCGAAACGAACCTTCGAAAAATTCACAGTCGAATGAGACGTCGCGATAAGACGGCACGTTTCGAGACGCACAGGCATACATATTTATGGGAACTGGTATGTTGACGCATGACGTCACGGGCCGAGCAGAACGAGAGAGGAAGGAACGCCGCGGAGAGCGAGCGATGGTTTCCTAATGTCCCAAGAAGTTGTCGCAATGTTTGTCAGCGTCACATTATGCGAGGCCTGCTGCTGGCTCGCCTACTTGCCGTTTACTTTAAATGACTGCGCGTGACGTAACCTCCAACAACAACACAACACTCGAGAATGGCCTCAGCACGTGGTGTGCCGCTGCTACGTTTCGAGCAACGGTTGTCTCCGGATTGTCCCTCGCCCGGGAGCTGCGACAATAACAGCTGGAATTTTACTAAAGTTTGACCCCGTAAAGTAAAATCCCTGGCCTTGCGAATGAGCAGCTACTGTGTGCGGCCAATGGATCGTGCAGAGGTAGCATAAAGTGAGAACATAACCTAAACCTAAACAGTCTAGCAGGCATTTGGCAAGTCAAGAGACTTTGAGCGTAGATTAAGTTTATCTCTTGAAAGGACACGAAGCGATCAGTCTGCTGGCATGTACTACAACGTAGGAGGCAACGGAAAGTCAAAAGGCTTGGGAAGGAACGAATGGGCGCGGTAACTGTCGTAAACAAACGAAGGCTTCGCCAGTTACATTTCAGTTCTGTTCAAATAGTTGGAACAGAGTATAAACAGACTTGTGGCACGAAGCCGCTTACGATCTCGCGAAAGGAGAAACACACGTCCGACCAATGACAGGTATTAACAAGCGCGAGCGTGTGATTGCGCTGGGTTTGCAGAAGGAGAGAGAAGGAGAGAGAGAGAGGGAGCAGGGAATTTGCCGAGAAATCTGCGTATCGGTTAAAAAGCTAAAGGCACGCGCGTTACCGAAGACAAGTAGCAGCCTGTTCCTTCGAGCAACGTACAATGATAACAGAGAAGCAGACAGTCGGACTGGCTGGCTGGCTGACGAGGCAGAAGGAGGTTAAGCTGACTGGCAAGGGAAAGAGGGCAGGGAACGAAGAACCACCACCAAGGAGACATGTGACCGGTACTTTTCCGTGACGACTCTAATATAATACAAGGCCCGGCTATCTTCGACATACGACGCTCGGTCGCTCGGTCTGTCGGTTTGTCGGTCGAGCGTCGGTCGAGCGTCGCTCGGCTTGGACTACACGGAAAGGACAAGGATGGAGCGTGTGCGCGCGTATGTAGAGCAGAGATGCAAGGACTGTGGAAGGAAGAAAAAGGAGTGGGCGGGGGGAGAGCCAGAGAGAGAGAGAGAGAGAGAGAGAGCGAAGAGAAAAAGAGAAGGAAAACCGTGCGCGTGCGCCGTGCAGCAAAGCGACATTCACACGTAGGCGGAGGCAGCTTAGTCATCGGTCGTGGCGGAGACCGAGTAGTGGCCTTGTTTCGAAAGTACAACCCAATGGCCGCATGCCGTCGTCGTCGTCGCAGCCGCCGCCGCCGCCGCCACCGCTGCCTCCCTCTCGTATGCACGTCTCTCCTCACGATGACGTAGACTTGCGCGAGCTACGGATGATAAATCAGACGTAGACACGCTCGGGCATCAAGAGCGTGAATCCGTCTCTCTGCGTCTCTCTCCCTCTTGGCAGGCAATGTGCGTTGCGCTCTTAACTTTCAGTATTTTACGGCACAGGACTAAAAAGTTTAGGCCTACAGGTACAGACACGATTATACATCATGAGTAAGAATGCCATCGGCCTACCTATCTACCTCAGAGGTTCGTATTTTACGGCCGTCCTGAATTTTCATATTCTTTTGTATTTTCGTTCTAAACTTCTAGCCGAACCTAACCTTAACTGGTCTTAGCAGGTAATCCACTGACGTAATCCATAAAATTTAGCGAAACTTTCGCGCCATGCGAATGACGCTCCGCGTACGATCTGGCGAAGGACGTCGGACATTGCGAAACTTTGAGAGAGACAAGAGGGGAAACATGTGCTCGGAGAAGGCTTCGACGTGAGGCGAATCATTAACCAATAAAGTATTATAATAGCTGCCACTAGCAACACTGATCTATAGTATATCGTACTGTTGAACCACTGCACACGAGGTATTTCGAAATTTGTTTAGCCTTAAATTTGCTAACGATTAGATCGTTATGGTCCGACTACGTGCGTAAGTGCCGCCCAGTTAACACCATCGGCGTTGCGATCGATCAGATAGGGACAGTCGATAGTGGTAGGTGCAATCTTTGTGAATTTATAAATTGATAAAGACGAGTCAAAGGCATTACTTTAATATATCCTACAAAATGGCGCTAGATCTTATTTGGGAAAGACTTCCTCTCTCGGTATCTGAGAGAGAAAGTAAAAGAAAGAGAGAGGGAGCACACGGTCGCCATCCGAGCCGTCGGAAACTCCACGGAAACGTCTATTTTCTCGATTCCACGGCCCCTTTCATGATCCACGTTTATTTCCAGATCACGATCTTTGCCAGCGACTAGCTATTTTTATCCTGCACGCACGTACGTAGTTGCCGCGCATATCTTCGGAGCGGAAATAGTAACCTCAAAAATAAAAATCGAGGGAGAAAGCCAAACAAACACGCCGACGGGATTTCTGCCCTGGACACATGATCGACGCCTGCCGTCGATACCAGCGCGTTTTTAATCCGGCAATGATCGCACGACTTTTTTCTGTATTTGAAATGCATGGACTTCGGGCTGTCTTGGACACTTGACCTGCCTAGTCCCGGGGTTCGACTCTGCCCATCGCAACCCTGGATATCGATGGGGAGACACGAGGAAAATTTCCTCCCCGTTTATCCAGAGAGAGGCAGTATTGCCATCTTGGATAATGAATATTGTATCCATGATGTTCCCGTTATTTTCATCCCCTTATTTCTGCTGAAATATACTACCACCCTGCTGCTGCTGCTTCAATATTTACTACTGCAATCAATACAACGTAGCGGAATGCTTTTAACAAGCTTTCCCAAAGAGAAGACTGACAAAGAGGATGCTTTTTCCGAGAATTATGGATTTTTCTTCGGCGACAAGGGGTAAAAAGGTATCCATTGTCAGGAAGGTAGTTCCCACGGTACCGAAAGATGCCCGCAACTAGGGGGTTCCCGTAAAACAGGGCAGGTATACAGTTTCACAGATAGGTATCTGCCAGGAAGGCAGGCTCCGACAGGTTTAAAGACCGTAGAAATATTTTCGACGTATTTCAAGCACCGTGTGAGAATTTCAACCAACGAAAATCTGCTGAACTAACATGGACCGGAGTCATTGGGGGATCGCGTGTAGGACCCGAAGACTCGTACGATTTCCTATAAGGATAGTCGTTGTGCCAACGTTCGTTAGGCAGTTCAGTTGATGCTCCATCATCATCGTGTCCGCTAGCGTGTAAGGTCGCATTAGAAAGTATCCTCTGTCGAAATAACGGTTGGCGACCAAGGTCACTGCTACTTCACTTGTCAGTATGGCGGATCGGATGGTAATTTTACCGTTCAACGCGAAGGCGTAACAGCAAGAGCGAAAGCAACTTTAAAGGCGCGTAGAGTGAACGCAGTAAAGTACAAATTAATATGACTCACTGCTACACGTGTTGCAGGAATTACAGGGAAAGAATTTCTGAGACGATTTACTGTTCCACGTCTAAGAGTCTCAACTGTCAGCTAGAATGCAAGAGTGATCGAAGCCACTTGAGTGAATCGAGATCAATGCATCGAAAGAATGTCTCAGAGTCGATTAGTATCGAAGTACATAACGGGTCCATTCATTCGTCTAAGCGTACGTAGTGACGTCACGACAGCCGGGCATCCCGATACGAACAGAGTGTACCTACGTGTATACTTCTCTCTCTATCCTTTGTCCTCTCCTATCTATCCACCTTGCTCTTTTATTGTCCAGTGTAGCAAACGACCCATCGCGCGTAATTCGCCGAGAATTTTTTATGGGCGCTTGGACGAGTGCCTCGCAATAAAACTAAATAACATCTTCATTTTGAGAGCTCTACCGGATCGCGTGTATCGCCCGTAGCGTATAGCGTTCTGAAACGTGAGTGGCGTGTGCGCGCCATCCACGCCATCCCCGCCATCCCCGCTACACCCCGTACCGCGTGTTCACTACGTCTCTGCCAGCAACAGCAGCAGCACCATCATCGCCGTTCCGGCATCGCCAGATGGCCACTGTTTTCCTATTTTTAAAGAAGGCCGATAAGCATACCCCTTAGAAACGGCACTCTCTCCGTGCCGAGGGAGAGACCCTAGTCTCTCAAGGCCGGAAGTACACAAAGGAACACGGAACGTATTTATAGTTTCTAGATCCTTCCTCCCCTTCTGTTTCTCCCTCGTGGAGTATATACATATCAGTTCATATTGCTAGTTGCTCTACGCAATCCTAGCATAGCTACTGGCTGGCGATGGGGAAAAAAAAAAAAAAATGGGTCTGTGGAGGTGGGACGGGCACCATCTTCGACGGCTACTCACCGTTCGCCTTGAAGTTGGTAGCTGTATCGAAGCTTGGTGCCCTGACAGGAAGCTTCTCCTTGGATCTGTCCTGAACGTAGCTGACGGCGAGACTGACGGCTGGTAGAGAGTCACCCCTGGTCAGGGGAGGTCTGACTGGATGCTGTTCTTCCAGGGAAAGACGTTTCTCCGTGTGCTCGTCCTCGTCGATGGCTGAGATGCCTCTTTTAAGCTGGGTAATGCCACGACTGTGACTGAGGTTAACATGATGGGAGACGGCGGCCAAGTGTGCATTCGAGATCCTGACATTCCTCATCCCGTTGGACATGTCGTGAGACTCCTCGTGCCGTGACACTTGCTGCCTCGAGCCAGAGTTGAAATCCGTTATGGAGTTCCTGTGGTGAAGCTGGGAGTAACCGGCTATATTGTGATGCCTGGAGTGACTTTGACTGGTATTTTGTATCGGTAAAACGTCAATATTCGAGCCGCCATTGTGCTCTGTGTGTCCGGAGGACCGATAGGTCTTTGAAGCGGAGGGTCTGTTGTCCTGGAACCCATGAGCCTTCTTCAGCTGTTTGGCAGACTCCAGCACCAGGTCTATCCTGTCGGCACCCTCGTAGTTTACGCACCCGCGACAAACGGGCTCGGAAAAGTCCATGATCATAGCCCAGGGCATCCTGGGCAGATCGCACAGGTAGCACTGCGTTCTCTTTCCCATCATCTTGCCTCTTCGTGTATCTCAGTAGAGACAATAAGACCGCGTACCTTTCTTCCTGGACTTTTCAACTTAATCTTCGTACCACCTAGAAGAACATCCTTCTCTTGGTCCACGAGGTAAAAGTCTCTAAAGAGGAAGGATGCTCATAGCATCCTTCGCGCACAACGCACTGTTTTCCTTACTTCACTCGACGACACTGATCAGGTCCCACAACAATAGAATCGTATAAGATTAAGCGGATGCTCAGGATGTTCAAGCACCACACGATAAAGGAAGAAAAATCGTTACTCAAGATTCAGTTATAGCCGATCAATCGACGAATATCTATATATGTATACTGTACATCACTAAAGGGCAACGTAGTAGCGGCGCGCACGTATGCAGAATGCAGAATGCACGACGCACAATGCACGTGAACGAACCCGGGTCACGGACGAAGGCAAGCCAAGAACCAAAGCCGAAAAGTGTCGCGTGTTGAGAGGAACCGTTCGAGGTCGTCGTAGCTGGACGAGAGACCGAATATAAGCGACACACGCGGCCCTGCGATGCCAGCCGTACGCGGGGACGAACACTCGAGAATGCGGCGGGGTAAACCAGCTAAAGCGAGCCTACGGGTCTCACTGGGTCTCACTGGGTCTCACTGACTCTACGTCGCCTCGCTGCCTCTCGACGCTTCTCGTCGCCACTCCACACGATTCTCGGGCCACGCTCTCCGCCAATGAGACGCTGTGGCGTCATAGTCTGCGACGTCACAATTGCGCGCGCAGGCGCGCCTCTGTCGTCCTCCGCCTGGGGGGGACACGTACGTATGTAGCCAGCGAACCAACGGAGCAACCGACCGGGACTCCAGGGAAACCGGAGAAACTCGAAGGAAGGTGGCGCGCGCTCTCCTACGGTCTATACTTCGCACTCGCCTCCTTCGAGACTGGCCCGGTTCTCGTTACACTCAACAAAACAACGGGGGTTTACACTTTAATGGTGGATGGACGCAGAGAGAAAGAGAGAGAAAGAGAGAGATAGAAAAGCCATGAAGTGAGTCACGGTGTCTCCCGCTTTTTTAGTACACATTTTTCAGAGGTGGATCAAACAGATCGTGACTCTAGCAACGAGATCAATTGATCTTTTGATCCCTCGGGACTGTGCTTTTCGAACTGTTAATAATCAGAGATTTCGTTTGTACAGCTTCCTCGTTGAAATCGGTAGAGAATTCGCGAGATCAGCGGTTATCAACCCCGGCGCGATTACAGGAGCTTACGATCAAGTTAGAATGTGATTGAGTAAGAGCAGAGAGAGAACAAGGATCCAGAAACGCGTCCCTGGTACAGCCTTTAGTGTATCTGCGCGTTACCGTTGACGCAATCTCGGATGCTGACTACTGCCTGAGATATCGTAACGGTTCGTCATTACGTGAGTTAACACGGCAACGGCTGTGCAAAAGAAACCAAGAAGAAAGTAGACAAAACCGGTCGGCGACGACTGATATTTCGCCTCCGCTAATGGATAACGTCCAATCCGGAATTTATCACCTTTTCTTTTTGTAAAGCTTTAATCTCTTTCTCCGTTTCCTTGATTTTCTCTTATTTTCATCTCTCTCTTCGGAGAGGTGCACAATAACTTTTTGTACACGCTCCCAAGTATGGAGCAGTGCCAATCGACTGTCGCACGACAGGACAGACGCTGCTACACAGCGTCGTTCGCGGTTTCCGGGATTTTCCAGTACAAGGCGATTTACGTACGCAGTCAGCTCGAAAACAAAGGGGGAAAAAAAAAGAGATGCGTGGACACGAACTCAACATCCGTCTGGAACGTTACATCGATATTTCCTAATCTCAGCAGAGTAAACAACGAGTATTAATTCCATCGTGCGTGCTCAAGACGTTACGTGCACCGAGTGCCGTCTTTATCGGTTTTCGTCGCCGATAAGCAGAGCCACTGTGATAACGGCCTGATACGAATGTATATCTAACCAAGCCTGAGCTTGGTTAGATAGTATTATTATTACGTTCATCGAGCAGAAGAAAGGTAGACGAAACATTCATAGGATTACGCAATATTATTTACAGAGAGACATGGACGTCCCCTGGTGCCGAATTCCCTTAGCTACGCGGTGGATGTTCGCCTGTTACTACAAATTAAATGTATCAGTCAGAAATTATATTTCTCTTTCGCGCAAAATATATAGGTAGATATAAAGTACTGGGAGTGTAAACAATTTTTGTAGGTTAGCTACCAGGAGTTCATGACAGCACTCGATCTGGAGCTTCTCCGTAAGTCTGACTAGGTTGCGAGGCGACAGTAGGAAAGAAGGTGGAAGAGCTGGTGATTCGAAGGATCGATGGATATTGGAGAATGGCGGGAATCCTCGTCTGGTTTGAATCGAGGGAGCTTCTCGAATGTAAATATGGGACACCACGTAAGACGTGCGCGCGTAAGGTCGCGTGGAGGGTGCGCTTAATGCTCCTCCTTTGGTTTTTGCGTCACGTTATCCCCCTTCGCCACGGCGATCGAAGGCTCGCCATTTTGTCAGGGCCCGATGACGTCACTCTGACATCACGATCTTCGGCACGAGTTCGTAACGCGACCCGCCGATTTCGACTCGACTGGCAATCGGCTATAGTATTTCCCAAGCAGGGGCTGTGTTACTTCTTTTATTTCTTCGAGTAGACATAAATAAACGATTATCGGCATCTTCAGGCGTCTTCGTTATAATCGAAGTAGCCTACAAGAGAGTCTCTTATCAATTTGCAATGCCGAGAAGACTCTTTAGAGATAAGAGGAGACCAGTTGGAATTAAAAGGGAGACTCTATCCGGTCGGTGGTAAAGGAGAGATCGGTAAAAAGGAAAGATAAGAAAAACAATAGACCGACAGAGAGATACCGAGAAAGAGAAAGGACGGGAATACTTGGAAAAGGAAATACGTGGAATTTGGCAAATTATAAAAAAAGCGAACTGTCCGAGAATTTGCGGAATAGCGGGATCATGAGTGATTTCTTATAATAGTCGTCGAAAAGAAAAAGAAAAAAAAAATTGGTCCGCATCGAAATACCAGATCCGACTGAGAATCCCTGAAAGGCGCGCAAAAGACTTCTTCGACTCGGTATATTCGTCTCGGCTGCAAGTCGAAGGAAGTCGCTTGGTTTCTGATTTAATTGCACCAACGGGCAGAGGGGTTGTCGGTTCAATGTCGAGAGCGATCAAATGTTTTCGCGGAATCGTTACGTTTCGTCCTTTCTTTTCTTTGCCTTTCTTCCTTTCGAATGTCATTCGGCCAGCACTAGGCGACGAAGCCCGTGGCCGATCTCGGATCGCGGCGCTTTCATTAAGGTCGACTACAATTTTCCACGACGACCACGCCGAAGCCCCGTAAATATGAGAACTTTGCCGTCGGACTGGTAGCACTGAAAGGCGAGTTCTCAAAGACGAGTGGAAGAAATAAAAGTACGAGTGTACAGAGAATATAAAAAAGGAAAAATATAAAAAATGTAATACGGTCGTGTCCTCAATTCAGCTTCGCACGGAGAGAGAGAGAGAGAGAGAGAGAGAGAGAGAGAGAGAGTCTCTTGAAACAGTGAGGTCCATTTGTCCAGAGGCTGCTGACGAGATAAGCCCAGCTAGAATAATTTCATTCTCGCAAAAAGAATCGTTCACGGGGGCGTCTCGAATGTGTGCAGGAGAAACGTGCGTGTCGACGTCGTCGCAGTCATGTGAATGAAAACCAGTTCCTGCCTGCGAAGAGTCACGAGAGAGAGAGAGAGAGAGAGAGAGAGAGAGACCCTGGTCTTCATCTCCTTCGCTTCTATCGATCGCGAGTGGGAGCAATCCCAACAAACTACTCGGTTCCACGTAAATTCCTATTGGCGGTTTCATCCAGTTTGAGCTGTTTGAATAATTAAGAATTATGTAACGGTTAGTTTCTGCCCCCCCCCCTCTCTCTCTCTCTCTAACACTCTATACATTGCTCGCTCTGCTTTTTTCATTATATCGTTATCTCTCGCTCTCACGGACTCTCTCGTGTTATCGTCAGTCACTCGTCGACTCTCCCGAGTCCTCTACACGTGACTCGAGCGATAAGGCGAACCTGCAATGGAAAGCTACGTCGTTCGGCGATCCGAGAAACACGTTCAAAGAGCAATCTCTCTCGTGGCGCCTGTACCCCGTGTCTCCTTTGTTTTCCTTCCGTCTCTACTTTTCTATTTCGTCCAATATGCGGTTTCGACTATGTTTAGATCCCGTGAGGCCGGCGGCGCATAAATACGTACACACGTAGCCTGGGATTGTCGCGCGTCAAATTCCAAAGTTTTTATCTCTACCTGGTATTCGAGCGCTGGCAGTATATTAATTCTCGGCGGAGAATGACTCAATAGGACGTCGTCGACTGGTCTAGGATATCCTCGCGCGTTGTCTCGTTACTCACCGTAACGAGTAGGCGAGTTAGTCGAGTGAGTCGAGTGAGTCCGGCTTCGAGAGAGTCCGCGTCTCGTTAGAGAGAATAATAATCGTCAGCCGTAACAGAGAGATATACCGGCGCGATAAGGTTAGAGATCCAGAGAGAATAAAAATATATGACGAACAAAGAGGAGAGAGGAAAAAAAAAGAAGAAGAGGAAGATATCACGGTTAAATAGCCTGGAGACTTTTTGCCAAGTCGATTCGGCCACAGATCGGTTATCCTCGGTATCGTTCGGTTTTCATTTGAAATTCTCGAGGCACGACGTCGCCGAGTTCGAAAGCGATGACAAAGGGGTTAATGTTTTTCCCAGTGTAAGTCACGCTCAGAGGCTGCCAGCCTGCTACGTGCTCGGGAAGTTGTGTGCCCTGTGACGTCACTCGGACGCCTGGCAACGCCGAGCGCGGCGTTGCCAACAGAGCCACCCGACGCCGGAGACTCGAGGCTGACTTTCCGTTGTAGCCGACGGGATGCCCTTGCAATTTGCCAAGCGGCCAGAAGCCAGTGGACGGTTGACGAGGGCGAAAAAGACTTCTGCTGGGATACCGATGCGACAGCCCAATGGCGCTGCCGTCGTTAAACGATAAGAAGTCGAAGTCTATTCCCGAAGTAGGAAATAGGGAAATCCCAACGTCGCTGGGGGCAGACGAAACCATTCTGTCACGTCACAGCAGCAGCGGCTAGCCGGAGAAAATCAATCCGGTTCCTCTACTAACCTTTCGTGAAAAAAGCGCCGCCACGGTTGGCACTACTACCACCGCCGAAAACGTTGCGGCCTTTAAGGGTCCGTTGCGATATTGACCCGACGTTGCGTTAGGTTATTTCTGTCGGGTTCGTGTACCTTTCCAGGTGCGTCGCACTCGAGAGCTCTCTTGGCATCAACATTTCTTCTCTCTCCGTCTTCCAGTCCCTGGAAGTTTATCTGTTCGAAAAGCGGGCCTTGCTGCTACGTCCTTGGCCCGTATCGCAAGATTAAAACTCATGACGCGTGAAGGATGCTGCGCGGAGCAGCTTCGTGATACATAGTTTTCTCTTTCCATTGGCCCCCGTAATCTCTGCGGGTGAAGAAGAGAAACAAAATTGAGAAAAAAAATGAAATGTCACTCTTTGCTCGCGATTAACGAATGCTTGATCCGAAAAGGAGCACAAGCTGCGCCGCTTGCGTTTCCTCCTGTACTCGAAAGTACCGTGCTCTGACACGGATTTCTGATCGTGGAAATGACCGAACCGGTCCTGCACTCGGGGGACTCTTTCAAGAGCGCGTACATAGCAGCGTCGAAAAGCCAGTGAGTTTACATGCTACCCAGAGAGAGAGAGAGAGAGAGAGAGAGTCGAGGAAGGAGGAGCCACAGGCGAAAACGTTAAAAGAGCAAGAGACAGAAATGAGCGAGAGAGAAGAAAGAAGAATTGCGAATTCTCGTGGCCGCCGACTGGAAGCTCGTTTAACTGCGTTCGAACGAAAATAGTTTTTGTTTGGATCCACTTCTGCGTTGAGTCAATGGGATGACGTCGGTGGGCAAGGGTGGCCGGTCGCTCGAAAAAATAGCGTCGTATCGTAATCATGGCCGACCAAGTATTTCTCGATGAATTTACGGGAGAGGCTCCTTCCTTACTAAATGACAGAATCGTGGATCGAGAATGATCGACCTAGGCTACGTACGTGTATCCGCTTGGTAGACACGCCAGAGAGACAAAGAGCCTCGTAGATCTTTTAAAGAAGCGAACGCTGCACGGCACGTAGGGCTTTAAAGTTGTCGTTTCCGTAGGGAGAGCGAGAGCGAGAGAGAAAGAGAAATTACTACGTCGTCCTGACGTAGACAATAAGGGGTCGTGTGGTGGTTGGCGGGTCGAGTGTGCGTGGACCTTCGCGAGCAGCGCCATCTACCAGGCTCGACGTAGTTGCACGCTGGGAGCCACGTAATTCCGATAGGAACAGCTCGACACGTACATACACACACACATATATATATATATATAATACGTACGTGTCTCCAGCGATCGCCGTCATTTTCGAGCATTACACAGTCAGACTGCAAGCAGCCATGCTATATGGAGCGTTGACGGCATGGCGAGGAGGAATACGTGGAGTACGTGAAGTGCGGGGAGAACGAAGAGAGTCGGAACGGCGGCGAATCATCGTACGAACAAGGCAGTGTGTAACTTTTGCTCTTACGCAACGAGAGAGACACTTAACGGCCTGTTTCCATTTACGTCACAGCAGAGCGTCTTTCGTCTTTCTGTTCCCCGCTTCCCCCTCTGCCCGAGTAACTACAAACATAGCTCCCACCACTCTGTCTCTCTTTACGGCACAGATTCTATAGCTACCTAGAGTGGAGACGTACACACTGCATTCGATATCGAGCGTGTCCTCTGTAGGTCGTATGCGACGGCAGTCATCGCAATCATCGTAATCCACACGTAGTAGCCCTACGACGTTATCGTAGAGCGTGCGCGGAGCAATGATAATACTGACGTCACGCTAGCTCATCGAGCCGTTAGAGTCGGCAGCCGTGTAGATGACTGTAACTCGGTGACTCGCGGTATCCTCGAGGATGTAGTAAGGCTTAGCGCGAAGGAGGCCAAGTGTAGTTACGGTACGTTGCGCAACATGGCGTCCTGCTGCCTTGGCGCATAATGGCAGCAAGTTTCGACAAGAACGTTCTCGACTCGAGGCAGAGAATACAGTATAGCTATACGTAGGCGGCGAACTGTCGCAGTCGACCTGTCCTTACTAACTTCTGATTCCTTGGCACTCTAGTCGCAGAGAGCCTCCCTAGCTGGTAACCAGCTGAGAGTACCTTCTGATACCTTCGGCCCTGTTGTGTCGTACTTCTTGTACGTACTACGTGATCCGGAGGAAGAGTTGGTGTTGCCAGGTTGGCAGCTCCTGCGTTCCTGTCGGTGGTGCCGGTGGTGGAAGTGCCGGTGCCGCTGGGATAAAACTGAGGACTCTCGGTCGATCGAGCAGCACCGCGCGTTGCCGGCGTCAACAACGGACAGTAGCAGCCGGTCCTCCTCGGTCTTATAGAAGCCATTCTGTGATGTCATGTATTCGCCCAAATTTATACGCTTGTTTGTAAACAGCAGAGAGTTACTGACGCTGCTCGGCAGGTATCACCTGCTGTCTTCGTTGCTCTCGCACGAGCGCATCCTCTTCGCTTGTTCTTCTTTTTCGCAACATTGGACGTCACGTCATCCTGCCGCCGGCTCTCCGGTATCCCATCTGAGAGAGACTACCCGTGGAAGAGAGTAAAAGGGGGTCGGAGAAGCAGGAGACCACACAGATGAGAATGTACGGCCCAGCAGCACCAGGAACGCACGAAGTGACCACCTACAGTCGGGCTATCTATTATGCATGGAGGATTTGGCTGATTGGAGCAAGTCGTGCGCGAGGGAAGCCCTCCGATTGGTTATTTCCCTTCGTCCAGACTCGGAAATGCTTCCTCTGGAACACGGAGATGATTGGAGCTTACAACCACGTGCAGTGGCATCCTCTTCCGTAGCAGATGATGCTGCCCGAGTGCGCGAAATCCTCGCTGGCTCTCTCTCTCTCTCTCTCTCTCTCTCTCTCTCTCTCTCTGTCTCTGTCTCTCTCCTTGGAGCAGAATATCGTCTCCGGGTGAACTCGAAGCCAGCCCCGCCGCGCTACAGTTTTCACCTCGGTCAATATCACGCCGAGTTCCAGCCATGCACACTGCGCATTAACCCCCCTCCGTTAGCTTCGTCGACTCGCAGCTCCTGGTCGCTATTTTCTTCCAGCAGGAGTTATCAGCCTTTACGCTGCTCCGCGCTCAAGTCGATTCGACATTCCACACGCGATACATTAGCCAGACAATCCGGAGAGCACGAGTCAGCACAGTTAAAAGGCGATCTGATTCCAGGCCCAGCTGCTCCAGAGGAAGAGCCTGAGCTCTTTCATTCGAGGGTGAAACGAACTGTTCGTCCTCATCCTCGCAGCCGGTCACGCGGCCGTGACTACGTTTGCAAATTGCCAGGACGTCCGCCTCCTCTAGATCCCAGAACGAGATCCTGGTGCTTCCAGCAGTATCCCCTCGAGGATGACGACGTATGCAGATTCTAAGGCGATGAGCGCATCGAGCTCGTGTTCGGCCTTTTACTGAACGGCATCGGCCTGAGGGTTCTCCGTGCGCCTGAGCGCCTGATTCCCGGCGACTCCGGGAGTCGTCGCGCGTTGCATATTGCACCAGGTAATGGCGAGATCGCGTGATAGCCAGGTTATACACATTGGGTAGGGCAAAAACTTACGAAACGCGATATCGCGTGTCTCGCGTGTCTCGCGTGCGTCCAGGACCGAGCACGCAATTTTCCCGGAGCCTGGATTAACTGCCCTCACGCATCGATTCACTGCACCCTATCCCCGGAGTGACTCCGTGCTTTCGTTTCCTTTAAAGATCACCAAGTATAGCTTCTACGTCGTAGCGCAAAAATACAGTACAAGAGTACGAACTTCCTCGTAGGTGAATGCTCTGCACGGGCATTGCGATCGGAACGACGATTATCGTATCTTGGAAAGGCTTTGTTTACGCTTCGCGTACAGTGAAACGTCGGATCGTGAAATTTCGCAATGTGTACTGGCCTTAACCTTCGGCATTTTATCGCTCAGCTAAAACCCAGCGACGTGTCGCGGTTTCCTCGTTAAATCGCCATAACGCTCACGTTTATCCTCTCGGTCGGCGCCATTTGGAGAAATCGTCACTTTGGAACACGAAGTACGCATGGAAGACGCAGATACGCTTTGAGCCGGCTTACTAACGCTTACTAACGCTTACTAACGCTTACTAATGCGTCCACGTGCTCGCGATACGAATATGGAAATTTACAGGCAGAAGCGACAAAGTCGTGTTCCTGACAATCGATGCTCCTCGTCAATGAACTTTCATCGCGCCAGGGCACGTTACTCGCACGTCGAGCACCTTCGCCACGTCAGCGTCTTGCATAACGTGGACGCGACGACCTGTCGTCCGGGCTATTCTCATGACGCGCATTTAAGCCACGTGATACTAAAGTTTGATGATACAGCAACACTTGTCCTGGCGTCGCGCGTCGCGTGGGAATAATAAAGGAAAATAAAGAAATAATAAAAAGAACGTCGCGGCTGAAGCCGATGACTCCGTCGTCGCCCTGTGCGATAATCGACGGTTCCATCCCCCCCCATTCCCCCATTCCCCCTTCTACCCCTGAGCCGGCATCGTGCGCAGACATCCTGGCATCAAATATCCGATGACGACTCTCGCCCCATCCGGCTCGCATCAGCTCCTTTGCAATTCAAGGCTTCGCGCTTTAACCATTTATCGATCCTCTTCTTAAAAAAAACCATAGGCGCACGTACGAATGACCCTTTACATATTTTATGTTCTCCTTACGCCTTGGAACGGCATACTTCGATCAGGAGCATTATTGCGAGTATCCTGTCACTTGTGCGCACACCTTTTCCTATCGTTATTCTTGGCAACGTCATCGGCACGTTTGGCTATAGTTACTCCGGCACTTTGCTACAGGATGGTAAAGCTTCGAGCCTGGTACCTGCTATCTCGAATTTCACTTTTCTTTGTTTCGAAGCAACCCCTCGCCGTTAGGTTATAGTGGCCAGTCGACCAGCCGACCAGCCAACCAGCCAACCAGCCAACCAGGAACACCTGACGCCAGGTCTCGTGTGTACCTGTGGCAGGTGAATCGAGCAGTCAGGTGCCACAACAGATGGGGGCGCCTCCACTCAAGAAAACGTTATAAACGGTCTATCATAAAATGTGGGTTACTAGCGATTACTAACTCGGGCCGCGTGCCGCGGAACACATAGCTCGTGTCTACGTTTCTTACGTTCAGGAGAATATCACGCTACGTAATAATGCATACCAAATGCTTTGGGCATTCTAGATTCTCTACACGGTGGCGTGGAAATAAACCGGGCAGTTTACAATAGCCAGAAATACTTTTCAAGCGGTTCGCAATTCCGCAATTTCAATATCGTAACACTGAGCGAGTTCGATTCGAGGAAATTCTTATGACCACGTCATTGATATAGAAATTCCTGGAGAACACGTCAGTTCCGTTAGCACAGCTGATTAAAATTCTATCTCCTTCTTTTTCTTACGTTGAAAACTTTTCTATCGCTCCGTATCATCCTGGAGATTCGTAACTTGGAGGTCAAACATTTTAAAATGCTGCAGAAATCGAAAGTGTTTTTTCGTCCTTTTCTTGTCTGTTGTCCGTAAGCTTTCGGAGCACCGTTATAATACGCGGCTTGCCATGTCTCTATACATATGTATAAACAGTCACGTGTAAGAATACGATAACGAAAACGTGAAGCGTGCACGGTATCTTTTACTACGTCGCGATTCTCGCATCGTTGCGCGTATGAACCATCATACACGAGCACGCATCGATTCTACGTGCACACCTGCACACCTGCACACGTGCACGTGTGCAATTGCGCATCGTACGACACGTGCGTCCATTTCGCTAAATCGGCAGTAGCGTCTTTTTTCTTTTTTGGCAGGTTGTTATGGGAGCAGTGGAAGCAACGGACGACGATTGGTTCTCGATGATTTTCGCACAAGACGCACGAGACGCACGAGACGCTCGAGTCTCGTATGGCGCGTCGGAATTTCGGAAGGAAGCGAAGCAGTCTGGTCCCTTCTGGGCGCCTAATGCCTCTAGCTGGTAAACAGCAGCTGGTAGTTTGGATTATGGTCCGATTAGATGGGATCCTAGTCGCTCCTGGTGGAAGTGTTATCGGTGGGGAATCGCAGCTGTTTCCTGTTTTGGGCCCAGGCTCCTCTTTGTCAATGAGTGCGTTTCTCCTGGTAGGGTCTAATGGTAGCTGCTCCTTAGGGCGATCTCGATCCGGAGTAACTGGGACAAATTGGGCCCTTCCAAGGAGCCACAGAAGGAATGTCCTAACGAGCCGAAGGATGGGCCCGAGTATGGCTACCTGTAATAGCTGCTAATGGAAAATGTTTACAAATTTTGTCTCAATCTATAAATAAAGGTAGATCATTCTGTATCCTATGTTAAACGTATCCACGGATCCTTCGAGGCGAACGAGCAGCACTGGGAGTTCCGGAACCATCGACGGGGACTATCTACATAGGTGGATGGTTCCTGGGTTCTCAAGCAATTGACGAGAGTGCTGAAGGTCCAAGTATCAGGAACGAGGAGGATTTCCTTATTCGTCTGGGAATTCACGTCCCAGCTAGACTTTTAGGATGTCTTTACCCATTTTCATATATTCCTCCAGCAATGCTGCCAACTTTGCTCATCTTTCGTTGGCAGCACGTCGCTCCTAGGTGCTGCCATTACCGAGGTCAGTGGTTCTCAACCTCTTCTTTTATTTTAAAAAAAAAAAAAAAAAAAAAAAAAAAAAAAATTATCAGGCAACTGTGTACACAGTAAGAGAAAGATATGCGGAGTACGGAGGAAAGTAACACTTGAGTCGATATAAAGAGAATTTGCTGATCGACACCGTAAGGAAAGAAGAAGAAAAGTGTCACGCTACGTCCGCGTGTCAGGCAAGATTCTGATAACTTTGTTATTTACAGGCTGATAAGGCTTATCGTCGCTAACGTAGATACCAGTTCTGGATGCAAGAAGCCACGACAGGCTCAAACGTCTAACGGAAGATCAATCGATGGAGATAGAGAAATTATCGATACGGAAAAAAGAGAAAAAGGAAGACTCGATTAGAGTGCTTGTAAATTTTGAAATTGGCTAGAAACTAGTAGAAACGTTGAGATACGCGGGAAGTTGGGATGCCGGAATACGAGGTGGCTCCGACCAGGAGAAAGAGCCCTCTCGAAAGTCAAGCCGTGCGGATGCTCCTCACGTATCCCGTAGTTCCGAGGGCGCCCTGAGCACGGCACGGAATACTAGAGACTAGTGTGTGCCGTGAATACGGCCCAGGATCCCGAACACACGTCACATCGAGGTCGACCGTATGCTCGTCACGCCCTCCAGTGCTGCTACCGTCGCTCGTTATGCTTCCCTGCATTAAGGCAGGACGTTTCGAACTTGCGAGGAATTTTAGATTTCCAAAGGAATATCCCTATAGGTGGTCAGCGCTCTCCTTAACTTTTCCCCTAGCTCCTAGTTCCTTTCTGCCTTCTCCTGAGACTCACATCGAGACTCGTTCGCTCTCCCCCAGCGTTCTACAATAGCCAAGAGGCATAACGTGGACAATTTTGCCTCTGGACACGCTCCTGAGATTATTCAGTCGTGAGCCACCCTGTTGTCGAGTTCCGGAAGATCCTGCTTGGTGGTCCGAGAACGTTCATGAGTAATTTAATGACTTAATGACTCTTGCTTTGTTCTCTCGTACATTTCTTTTCCTTTTCTTCCTTTAGTCCTGGTCGTTACTCTCACGCCCTCCCTCTCCCTTTCCTCTCCATCGGCACCATCAGCCCCTGGCTGGGCTGCACGTAGAAAAGTCGCCAGAGGATACCGGAACCGGTTGGAATCTGTTTGTCCGCGGTGGGAAATCTTTCGAAAAAAGACCTCTTCTCGCCATTATTCCTATTCCGCTCGGTTCCTTTATTTCACTCTCCTCCTCCTCCCCCGTGTCTTTCTGCGCACATAACGTGACCCAAAGCCCCCAGCGGCGTTCTTTCGACTTTTCAGATATTTTACGGAAACCGTAGAGCTCACAGCGTCGACTCTTGAATACCGAGAGAGGAGATCGGCTCTCCTTACTACGTGGGAAGCATTTGCAGAGCCGACGGGACGTTGCTTGAATTCCGAATGGCTTTGTTTTCCATTATGGAAGAGATGAGAACTCCTTTTAATTGGCAGGCACTTCGCAGGGTGGCCAGGAATCCCATGGAAAAAAAAGTAAAAAGACAAAGTCACAGTATAAAATGTCAGGTTGAACATTACAGCGACAGTTATTATTATATAAAAGGTACAACAGCGTCTGCCGGCTGCCCGTACGAATTTCATTGCGGAATTAACTCCCGACGTCGCGAACCAAGGTAGGCAGGACACGACGTCCTCCGAGTATGGTTAGAATCTCCGTGTGCTCCTGGATCGATGGAAAATTGCCAGACTCCATTTCTACCCCAGTCCGATGTGTTCCAGGAGCGTTTTCTTTCTTCTTACTTTTCTTCTTTCTCAGCTCGCAAAACCTGTTATTATCTTCTCGTTCGAAGCGGTAACGAGGCCTCTCCAAACAATCCGATCCCTGGCACTTCTCCTCCTGAGGTTGCGCACCTGCCGGAACGATCATCCAAAGGTGTCCTGCTGACACGTTCCAATGCCAAATAGAGATTACATTGAGGACTGTGCAGCCATCACGTTCGCAAAGATCTTTCCAGGTGCCAAGAGATGCTGCTGCTACTGCGTGGTCCATGACGATTCCATGGGACCTGCCCACCTCGTGTCTTCTAATTTCCCTCTGTTTTTATACTATGACGAATCTCAAAATTCTCAATGGGATATTAAACGTCATCCACTAGTTTCTATAAGCTTATAAGAGCGAGAGTGATTAATCGAAACAATTAACAAGAAGACGAATGCCAAGTGTGATTCGGATCGTGGAGATAATTATTATATGATTTTTTTTCAGTACGGGATGCTGCGACTGCGCAAATTGTTCGATCGGGAGATTAAAAAATTATTTGCCTCCTGTGAGGTTTGAACTCACGACCCCTGGTTTACGAGACCAGTGCTCTGCCACTGAGCTAAAGAGGCTCGTATGCTAACCGATAATGATTACATCCCTTTCAACGTGATGTGCCTCTTCGACAGTTCAGAGACACCCTAAGGGCTAGGTTCATGATTGTAGTCCAGGTACGACAATGTAAATGGGGTTTATCGCCGATACTTATAAATTGAGGATTGTTACATTGATGGGCACTGAGAAGAAGTTAAACGAAGGGAATGAAACATAAGATTCAACGTGTCCTCCGGCCCTATGAGAATTTTAAGAACGTTTCACGTATCGAAGGTCGTGCCGAGTGCATTAAGGGTGCCTTCAAGATGGCGCAGGCAAATTCATGAGAAACCCTTAAGAAAGTATGACCCGTAAATCCATAGTGACGCAAAGCAGATGTCTCCTGTCACTTCCCGTTTTCGCGAGCATTAAAAAAAAATCTCCCTAAAATACATATACAAGTCGAGCGCCCTCTCGCACCCTCCCTTATTCATGGTCGTATCGGTGGCTCAATAGGACTCTGCGTCCCTTAAAAGGGACAGATGTTACGCCGTCTTAAAGATTTTCGGTGGGGACCCTTTGAGACGCAATAAAGGCCCAACGGAACGAGCCCGTGGGACTATTGTGCGATTAAGCAGATGTTATACCGTCAATGCGCAATATAATGTGTCCCGGCAAACAAAGGATTGCCACGCAGCTTTCCAAGGGCGTCGTTCGCCATTCCAAAAGGTATTTTTGCATTTTCGCAAATTTCCTTCTTGTCAGGCTCGTTCCTTTCTTTCGCGTGCGATACTTTCCGAATACTTTTGAACCTGGCTCCCCCCCCGCCGCCCAGATGCACCGTTCCAATTCTCTCCAAGCTCCCATTACGCTTACTACGGGCTACCAGCAGTCTTACCAACGGAGCCAACGGGCACGAACTAGCCAGACGCGAAACGGTAATTCCCAGCCGCACGATACATCACTGAGAAATTGAACAGAGAACTGCAGCAGCTTCGTGTAGTCGAATACGTCAAAATACGTACAACGACCTACGCCACTAGGTATATCTATATTCATGCACGTGGCTATGTATATATGGGGACGTGCATTCTCAGACGCGTGACGCATTATTACGTTTTTGCCCGATGCCCGCGTGGTCACGCCGTCGGCGTCGGCGTCGGCGTCGGCGTCGGCGCCGTCGAGTAGCGGACAAAGGCGTCCGTTCTTTTTAATTGGATTCCCTCCTCCGAGTCTTAAAGGCGACCCTCGATACCGGCAATTCGTCCCTCGCGACACTTCGCACTGAGGCATAACAATGACTTCGGTTCTGCGAATCGTCGGAGCGTCGTGTCTTCGGCCGAACGTAAATCCCGTCGTCGTCTTCGTCGCCGTGTGAAAGGAAGGACGATGGCTTGGAGTATGACGCGTCCTACGAGACGTCAGATCGATCTTGTGCCACTTTTTGGTCGAATATGTCTTACGAAGAAGAAAAAGTTTTTAGTCTGGATTAATGAAAAGGATGGTATCATTGTAAAACAGTAAGATGGCGAACGCCAGAACGCCAGAACGCCAGACCGTCAGAAGAGCACAACCGTACTTTGCCTTCGAGTAAATTCCCGTTGGATGAAAGTGGACTCGCGCCCGTATAATACTGCCTGGCTCTAGCGTTGTAGCCAACGCTGCTGCGAACGGTGGGACCAACCTCCGCTGGTACCCTTGAACCTAGCAGACGCTCGCAGCGTTGCCGCCTCCTGCAACTATGCCGCGGCGCTTTCATCGGAAGAATTTCATGCCCGCCACTGTTGCTCGCCGACGCTTCTGACGTCACGCGTTGGCGCGTTGCGCGCGCACGCTCTCTCGACGTTACGTAAAAAACGTGGCTGGCGAACCCCAAGCCCCCGTTGTGCCCCACTTAGGAATACCTGCCTGACAATCGGGACAGGATACAACCATCTTTATTCTTCTTCCTCTTATTCTTCTGCGTCCCCAGAGACGAGGAGAGACTTTCTTTCTTTTACATTGCATGACCAGCCAGTTCACTCCTGTAGGCTTCCTCTTATCTTTTTCTACCATATGAATTTTTTCAATCGTCGACCTTAACCCACTGCTACCCTGCGCTGCTTCGACAAAGTCCCTTTGTCAAAATCCTCGAGATTTCATCGGCTACTACTCGATTCATGTTTTTAAGTACCGTGCACCAGAATATCCACGGAGTACGCGCGATAGGTACTGGGGAACAATTTGCTGCCCGAGACTTTGGCTTGGGAAAGATTCAAGATTTTCGAGTTTTACTGTAAATCACGCGAGTGCGAGAGAAAGAGAGAGCGACTTATGGGGATTCACGTGCGTTAGAGAAGGACAGCTGAACCAAATCGCCAATGACAACACCCTCTCTCGACTTTTGGCTAACTTATACATTAAACGTTGAAAATTTTAAAAGTTCGCGCGAGTCACGTATTTCAATATACTTTCGCAATTCGATCCTAAACTTTTAACAGTTTATCAAACTTTTTTCAGTAAAATATTATTAAGCTCTGCCGTAAGAGACTCCGTGACCTGTCAAATGTGATGGGTGCCTCCCGGCTGGATATCTCTCTATATCTCTGTTACTAGTCGAGTGTCTCGTTTAATGCCGAGACCCTTCTCCCCGCTCCTCCCCCTCGCTGCTCTTCTCACTCCTGTGCCATTTACGAGAAGAACCGGTTTCGCTTTTTGCGCTTGGCGAGTTCGCTAAGAATGTTGATTTTTGCGATACGTATCCGCTGAGAACAACCTAACCCGGCGTCGTTATCGCGATGAGCTCGCGAACACTGACGGCCTTCATTTTCGAGCCTATTTCGATTCGCGTCCGTTCCCGAAGGTTCGGATCCGTACCATACATTCTTGGTGCATTCTAGATAACTGCGAAAATATAAGCGAGTCGCTACTGTCCTTCCTTGCGCGTTAATAAAATTTAACTGAAAACTAAATGTAGACCTGGAGAAGATCAACGTCGCTGCTCTCTTCCAGACGGAAGAAACGGTACATTCGCACGTTATTTACATTTATGTATCCACATGTACTCGAAGAAAACACAACGCATCGCGATTTCAGCGCCGTTCGCCTTCTTCGAAGCGTGTGTGGCGTCCCTCGTTGATCATTCGTCGCGCGATGCGTCGCCGAAAATATTTTTACTACAAAACGTGTCCAGCATGCGTTAAGACACATTAGAGCCAGCCCGCTATTGTTCTCACTAACCTACAGCACTGTTGCTCATTACCATTCTTCATTCGTGACCGTCTTCCCAACGAGGCATTTTCTTTAAATAGAACTAACAACAAGGTGACTCGAGGGATCGCGAACACCGTTGAGGTATCCGTTCTGCCATCTATGCCTTTTCACGGTCGCCCCGTGATACATTCACTTTATTTTACATCCGCGCCAAGCGACTCCATCGCTTCTTCCTAAAGGGCTCCTCTGCAGCCTCCTTCTCTCTGGCTATTTTCTGGATATGTGACATTAGCCTCCGGCCTCCAAGACTGCTGTTTACGAATGCTTTACTACAGAGAGACCGACTCTGCTCACCACTGCAAACTACTTTGCCAATATTTTGCTTCGAGCTTGTATAGATATCCGTCCTTAGACTCTTTTTGAGAGTTGGATAAATCTTGGCTGATTTATCAGTACCGTTACTCAACTAGCCTAATGGACGAGACAGTTCAGGGGACACTTGCTGTTTTCATTCAAGATAATCAGATGGTACTGGAAATGGATGCTGGAAGCGTATCTTCTCTCTTCGTACGCACAATCGAAACCGGTTGTGCCTGAGACTTTCGAAAATTCCATTACGACGTAGCGAGAACTTCCACGCTGTTTGAGCATCAGCGGGTACCTCACTGTGGGTCCATTCGGTTGAACACCTGTTTTTTCTTTCTTTTTCATTATTTACAGTTAGTTTAGCTAACTGGCATATGTGTGATTTCTTCTTAATCCCACAGAATTGGCGACGCCTGGCAATCTTATCTCCTCAATAACCTATGGATGCTATATATACAAACTGTGTATACTAAGTGGAAATGATATGTTAATAAAATGTATGGAATATTCACTTACCTTGAAAAGATGGAATATCTGTGATATTAATTCCTTCTTAGTAAAACCACGTATCGCACAGTTTTTGACTGTTCGGTAACTCACAATAATATTTGCACTGTTACGTATGTGTAGGGAAACAAGAGACGCTAATCGAGTATCAATGCCTGTTGCAATTAATTCGTAGCAGATTTTTTAAATGGCTTGGAATAATGTTTGCCTTTCTGTTTCTAAAACGTAAATATGATGCAAGATATTTCAATCACTCACCCTTTCTGCACTGAAGACGGCTTTTCGTTGCTCATCGTGGACATGTAGGAATTTGGCTGGTCTGATTTCTCTCTTCCAACTGTGAAAGAAGGTCAGTTCAATTTTGATTTTCAGGTATTTCTGGTCATTATCGATATTCAGTATGCAAAAGGTAAGTTGCCGAAACCCGGGATTGAACCGGGGACCTTTAGATCTTCAGTCTAACGCTCTCCCAACTGAGCTATTTCGGCTCGTATTATATTTCTCATGTAAGATGCGAGTTTAGGAGCATTGTGATTTATTTATATTAAACCAAATATTTGTTGCAATCTGCTATCTGATGTCGCTATATATTGAAATACTAAGCAGTTTTTAATATTTTCAATCCGAGAAAAAATTTCAGAGCCGTGAAGGATAGCCATGTAGTATCGTAGGAAATAACTTATGAGTTTTGTCAACGATGTCACCACTGTACAGCGTAGGATATTTTTGTCATATTGAACTATGTTACCATGATGAAAAACTGGTAACTTCGTATGAGAGATAGTTGGCAAATTACCGGCGAGACATTCAAATAATATATTGATCGATATTTTTTTAAGTTTTGATTTAATGTATTTAGGGGAAAAAAAAACTATACAATTGTTACCTCAGTAATACTTACTGGATTTAGGTTTGGTACTTTCAATTCTTATTAGCTTATTTTCGATCTTGCTGGTTAAAGCTTCTTGATGCTTCCAATCATCAATTTCTTTTCGTAACATGAACACTGCATCATGATTATTTATATTTGTGTTTTCTAAGAGTGGTTTTGTTGATTGTCTATTTTCGGTGAAGTCTGCTTCGCTGTATATTCGTTGTTGATTTTGAGGAAGATATGGTTTTGCTCTTGCGTACTGTGGTTTTTGGGTGGTACCTTTAGGGGCATCATGCAATTTGCCTCGGTAAGATAAATTGTCACGTTGCCTTTCTGGCGATTGACGTTCAGGGAATTTCTTATTAATTGACATTCCTGCACTAACAGAATCAGAAATTGTCAGGTTTGAATGAGCTTTCTTGTTCTTCTGTAAAGATCCAATGCCCTTAGGTGTATTCCATGTGCGATTCTTCAGTAAATCCCTTGTTTCCGATCTTACAAACTGCGCAGTGGCATTACATAAAATTCCTTTTCCACATGATTTTCTTGTCACTGATTTTCCTCGCTCTGGTTTCTTTTTACTCTGAAAAATCAAAATTCTTGATAAGAGTTAAAACTCAACTACCACCAAGATTGCGTAGCATGTAATGCAGCAGACTATGGAACATATCATCAATATCTCTTTGTATTCGTCACATTATACATTAATCCCATTAAAAAAAAAGTAATTATAGATATAACTGTCTTGCAATCAATAACCAATAATTAATAATAATTCTGAAGTATTAGTTTCAGTGGATGCAGTAGCGCCATCTGGACGAAAGGATGTTATATAAATGTAAATACAAATAAAAGAAATTTTGTAGAATTATTTGCAAAAGAAAAAGTGCTCCTAATTGCAGTATTAATATAATTACTAAAAAACCCAATATCAATGTAGCCAGTCAACTCTAAATTTGCTCTAGAAGAAGGCGATTATAATATCATTAAGAGAACAAAATATCACAGAGGAAACATACTCACAATCATATTAAGGAGGCCTAAAAGGCGCGCATAAACAGCGCGTGGATTCTAATCGGGAAAAAATACAGTAACGTGATTAAGCCGTTACTGTATTTATGAAAAATTATCCCGGACGCGTAACGACTTTCGTCCAACATTTTAAGACTTAGAACGAAATAAAAAAAACTTTATTGACAATTTAAGAGATGGGACCAGAAGAACATTTCATTTCGTGACACTCGTGCCAAAACGATACTTAATACTTTTCGTGAAATTTTCATGAGCATTTCTTAAATTTTGACGTAGAGTTAATGGTTACGCTTATGTTTGTGAAGACTTTTTATTGTTTGACGCCCTGTCAACGGTTACCTGTCCCCGATCGGCTTCCGATATGAAACATCTGCTCGTACTGCGTCCTGCATTTAACGAAACTTCCTTCTTCTTTATGCTTCTGGCTATTAACTGTTTACTCTACAATATTTCATCAGAACTTTCAGAGTAACTACCAATTGTTAATTATATCATTACACTTTCAACAACCCTTCTTTTTATTCAAATGGAGACTCTTCTGAGAGTAAATTTTACTAAAAAACACTACAAATGTGAACTAACCGTTGACTTTTTAAAAGCTACGTACAATAGGCGCAATTCGAATTCCGACTTTTTGAATATGTTCCCAAACGAATCAAAGCCAGCAATCTTATATAGGGAGTAGTTTTGAGAACACAGAGCAAAGGTGTGCGCGAGACAGCAGACGATGTTTCCTAACCTTCATGTATTCAGTAGTATATTCTAATATTGGGAGAGATCTGCATGGGATAATAATTGATATAATAAAAAATATCCGAAAAGATTGTAAAATCTTTCAAGATGTCGATGCAAGTACCGGCTGACGTGGATGCCGAGCAGATTAAATCGGTATGTTCAATGCTTTTATGTCAGAACATTTTGAAAAATCATAGTTATGCATTAGTGTAATGCATTTTAGTAATTTTATGTCTGCATAATTGAATATTTCATTATCATTATATAACACTTAATACGATTGTACGGACTCCAAACTCCTACATTCTACAACAAACTTCATACATTACTGTTTAATTTTCAGTTTCGAGATTTCCTGACATCTTACAATAAACTCTCAGAAATCTGTTTCATCGACTGCATAACTGATTTCACTACGAGAGACGTTAGAGCCAAGGAGGAGAAGTGTGCTTTGAACTGTATGGAAAAGTACCTGAAGATGAACCAAAGGGTTTCACAACGATTCCAGGAGTTCCAAATGATAGCAAATGAGAATGCAATGGCAGCTGCAAAAAAACTAGGTCAATTGCATTAACACAACTCATTGGACAGCCAGAACTACAACAAAGTATCCTCATTCTCTCATACTACATTAGTCATGGACTTGTTACCGTATAAAATGATTAAAAAATTGTTTTATTTTATATATCACATGCCATTCATTTGTAGCAGTTTTTCTTTTTCTACCATTGTATTAACTTCCAATGCTCAGTGGATACTCTATTATCAGAACGAATGCATATTGAGATCAAAACAATTTATTTTATAGAAATACACTATAAAGGTTCTTTTAAATAATAAATTAAGTGTTACGACCCCGCCTCGGAAGGATATAAGTAAAAAGAAATACGAGTGTTTGACAAAGTAGATTATGTACTCTAGGGTACATGAAGGAATCATACATAAATTAGTAGGAAAGAAGTATGTACAATAATTCCATACCGTATCATTTGTTACCCTGTTTAGAAACTTACATCCTAATGGATGCTAATAACTACTTCTATAAATTATTACGTAGAAACCTTTGCCAATCGAGCAAAAATTACTTGCCGGATGTACCAGATATGATTTTTTAAAAAGAGTTTTGTAAACTAGAATGATTCGTGACATACGACAAAAAATTAGAGAAAAAATCTTACATGTGTTAAATTAACACAAGAAATCGCTACTTATCCTTTAAAATTTTCTACAACTATACAAGACATCTCCTACTCACTATCATCACGGAAGTTTGGTGGGAACACCTTCAACGTACAATTATATAAATAAAATACGGAATAATAGAAAGAAGAAAAAGTTCCATGTCCTATTTTTAACTAGACTTTGAGTGACCGAAACTATGATATTTTCCTTTTGTCTGCATATCAGCCTCCATGGTCTGCATCTCCCATCCAAAATGTGGTATTTGGACTAGATTTTGCATGGAGCCAATATTTTGGGTCTGATTAATAATCTGGGTTCCGAAGCTGGTACTAGAAATCTGTATCTCCTGATCCTGCATCATGGATTCCGAATTTGGTGAGTTTGGTGGCGTTTTCCTTAATCTTTTGTAATCCGAGATTCTATTTAACGACACTTGGTCCACGCATATCGCCTGCGTGGTGTGTCTTGTCTTGTACAAAACAGGACAACTCAAGTCACCCTTTAAACTGAGACTATAAAGATTCGCGAGTCTTCGCAGTTTCTCACGTTCTGGCTGTCGCATTGGATGTAATTTCAATTCGCTTTGACTTGGATCCTGCAAGAATCGTGAGACCTTCTCGTTAGCCGATGTAATTATGGAGTATCCTGGTTTATTGTCTACGTGTCGACGGCCGGCACGTATTTCCCGACCACTGAGGCCATCCCGGATCCATTGCATTCGCTGCCTGTAATTCTTCCTGGCCTCATCTGACAAGTGGTCAATGCTGCCGTGTAATATTGCTTGAAACGCAGGATCCGTCGTAACTTTGTCTTCTGTTGTACTCTCGGTGTCATCCCACAAGCTTGACTCTCCGATCCAGTCTGATTGTTCGTCATCGCCTGGATCAATGAAACACGTTAATACACTGTGACGGGATCACGTCGGATTTACTACAATTGATAAATTTACCCTCGCGATCTTCATCATTGGTTATAATTCCTGTTTCCGAATCACTTGATGAAATACTTGAACTCGATATACGAGAACAGTCCATGGCATCCTCGTTTTGAACTTTGCCACGGTTCTTTGACTTTGAATTACGGTTTGGCTTTGGAGCACGCATTTCACAGTCTATTGAACGTTCTCTGCAAGATCGTTTACGCTTTCCGCACCTTTTAATAATATATAATAATGGATAACTAGTTTGGTATTTAGGATTATTCTGTGTTTGTATAATGTCATTTTACCATATTGTTCCATATCTGTTCTCACAGTCGTTACGGAAGACCCTTTTTTTTTTCCCAACAGAGTTGGAGATTATAGTGACGGCTTGAGATGTGGACGGGTTTGAATCAGAGTCTACAGCCATTCGTTTAAACTTTCTTTTGCGCCTTGTGTTCATTCTGGGTACAAAGTTCTCGTTAACCGAATCGCTTTCAATATTGCTGGCATTGTTCAAATTTGAGAAACGCGCAAATCGTTTAGTCTGATTAATGTCATCACTGTCGGACTGGTACTTTGAGGCTGAAGCATTCTTTGGAATGCGAATGTCGCAAATAGAAGACGAACTGTCGTCCGAATGCTTGTTGGCACTTAACGACGCTGGGAAAGAGTAGCGCAATGATTTCAAGTTTAATTGGCATCTGGCTCTCCTCCTATGCAGATTATACCAAATAGTATTCTTTATAGCCTTACACTTACGAATATTTCCTGTGGAACGTGCACGTCTTCTGATACCCCATCTGGGCCTGACATTTGCACTATTGCTACTTTCCTCCAGTGCCAGCGTAAGGTCATGAACGAGTGCCTCCATTTTTACTCTTAAATCCGCTGGCACAGCTTTTAAAACACGCTCCATTTGAAGGATACACTCTTCTCTGCAAATAAATCAATATTATTCACAGCACCTGCTCCAGAAATGGTAAGTTCAGCTTTCATCTTATCCACAAGATAGACTGAGCAGACCATATGATATAAGCATAAGAGGCTTACAAAATTACTTGATAATGAGATAAATATATAAAGTCATTCTTTATGTGCATTGAGATGCTCTATCCTCGACATGGTACTTGTATGAAAGTTAAGAAAATTTGAATCTATACTATAATATGACATGCAACAGCAGTAGGGTGAATCAGCGCAAATAATCGATGATTAAATTACATTATTCTAATATGTCGTCTAACTGTCAATGAATAGTTCAGTAAATAACAGCATGCCGCACTCGATTTACTTACAACTAAAAATTCTATCGATGGCAACGCGAGCCAAAATGTCTATCTGTGCTAAAGAGCAGCGACCTTTGCTAAGAGAAAGTAAGACGAAAAACGCGAAGCGTCTTGGCTCGTTTAAAAATCTTATAATATTTCAACAGTAAGTAACTTCATCCTGGAAAAATTGATCCCACCTTGTATACGTAACCGCACACGCCGTCACCGAATAAAATTCTACCTTACGACTGCATAATCGTAAAGTCGCAAGCGCGTTGACATTGAGACGAAAAAAAAAAAAAACTGTCCATCCATAAATGGATGAACTCTGTAATTTTATGGAGAGCGGGGATAAAGAAATCCTCGAAAAGTGGTGGCTCCCGCCTGCATAAGCTGCACAATTGTTACAGGTTGGGTAACTTGACTGACAGTCTGGCCCAAATGTCACCAGATTTTTTATAGAGATAGGTCTGTTCACAAGAAACAGTTTTGTCCATCGTTAAGCCATGTTCAAAATGGTATTCTCCAATTTTTCTGAATGACAGTCGACGCCTCAAGCCAGAGTATACAGAAAGAGGTAAAGCAAATGACGAAAATGTTTAATACTTCAATAAATAAATAGTTTAATGTAAAATAAATGTGTTGTTTGTCGAAAGAGTACTTGATTGGTGTTGCCACTCTAGAAAATGCACAGGAAGTCGCAAGCAGCGCGAGAAACGGAGCAACTTCCGGTTGTTTCGTTGCAGAGACGCTCGCGCCCGGCCAAGAAGCAGCGGTGTAGTTCGTGTAACGTCTGAAACAGTGAAAGGCCAGTTTACTTGGAGAAAGAGTGGACTTGGAAAAAGATTGTTGTTTACAAAGTGATAAAAAGGCGAGGGTAGTGGTCCAGGTTGATCCGTGATGCTGGCCGGTGGTTCTGAAAACCGTAATCAAATAGTGGCCCGGCGCTGGTGTAAATAGCGCGTAGTGGCGAGTGCGCGCATGTTGTGTGCACCCGCGGACAGATGAGCGTGGGATAGCTGTTCCTGGACTGGATTATATTCTAGGACGTTCTTTGAGGAAGATTTGTGATTCCGAAGAGGCCTCTGTGGCCTTCCGTCGCGCGTTCTGCCCAGCAACGTTTCCAGGACGTGGAAGAGTAGCACTCGACCAACGCACGATGGAGGGTGCCGACGTGAATGGCGGGAACGTCGAAGTGGCGCGAGAAGATCCTAACCTAGACATCCTAGATACGCCAGGATTACAGGAAGAGGTTGTAAGCCAGAAATCCGATAGTGGTAAGATGGATGAGCAAGAAATCAATGGCGATGTTAAGATTGCTATTAAGAGAGAGACTACCCCAAGCGCTAGAAGAAAGTTGCGCAAGTTCAAGGCCAACTCAACTAGTACCATGGAAACTGACTCCAAACCTCAGACCAGAGGTTACAAAAGAAAGCTGTCTGATCCGGATGAAAATAGTTCTGAGGAGTCCACAGAATTTAATGGCTTTGATTCGCAGGGCATAGAGCATACAGATACAGGCAGTCACGTTCTTAAAAAACTTATTGGTAATTATGCGTAGCACATTTAGAATGAAAATATTCAGAGAAGATGCAATGAATGACCCCTGCTGAGCCTGGTGGAAGCTTGTTGGTATTTTTCATTCTCAGTACTGTCGATAAGGCAGTTTTCAATTAAGTATTGTTCCGATCCATGGATCAACAAGGATTTCCCCCATGTACTACTAAATATTAATTTGTTATAGCTTTCTCATTTATCATAATAGAGACCAAGAATTATCACAATTTGCCAAGTTATAAAAGTAGTTAACTTAATGTGCTTCTTATTGACATTAACATTCTTAAGCAATCTGTTTCTTCACAGCTGAAGCTGAGTCCGCAGAGTCTCAAATAAAGCTTCGACGTCGTTCAGGCTCAAGAACGATGTTCAGAACCATCAACGGTAAGATTCGAAAAGGTGCGCATATTAAACATATACTTAATAACCATCTACCCATTAAAAAATGTTTAGAGTTCGCCGACATTCATAATATTAAGAAAGAAAAGGATTCCGACAAGTCTGAGACGGATTCGATAGGCGCTCCGAATAGTCTCGAGTCTGAGTCGGAAGCGGTAAAAGGTGACGAATCCTTGTTAAAATCGACAAATTCAACCGCGCACAGTAGTCCCTTGATTTTATCTCAAAGATCAAAAGGCAGTCGATTATCTCGAGGTGCGAGTCCTGGTAGTGCGATAAAACATAAAGTCTCCGTAGACATGTCCAATCCGGCCTTTAAGGAGCCATTCAAGTACGGCTGGAGGCGAGAACTAGTATTCAGAGCGACCTCCGAGAACAGCGTCAAAAGAATGGCGGACATTTACTACTACACACCAAAGGGCAAGAAAGTCAGAAGTTTTCGAGAAGTCGCCGAATATCGTAAGTACATGAAATCCATCAACAGCGCACAGTCAATGCGACACTATTATCATCCTAACAAATATGATCATTTCTTATCACAGTGACATCCAGCAACTTGACGATAGACAACTTCACCTTCTTCAAGGAACCAATCGGTATGGACGATCCGGAAAAGGAAATAATTCGAGATGCCAAGAGACCAAAGGTAAGGATTATAATGCAGACACGATTTTCGCATCCACCATTGGTCATCCGTTCAATTAAATAATCGTTATTTAATTTTTCTACATCTCTGCTTGTCAGGATTCGATGACACCTTTAGCCAGGAAGACGTTTGCCAGTAAGAGATCGTTCCCAGCGAAAAAGCCGGTCGAAGAACCACCAGCAACGCCGACGCCACCGCGACCAGTAGGCAGACCCAGAGGTTCTGGCTCCGGTTTCAAAGTGAAGATGCCGGGCAAGAGAGGACCGCAGAAAAGTAAGTTTTTGTATATAATATGATGAACAATGTAAAATTTAGAAACGTATGCTATGTCTTGATTCCCAAAAATCTGTTTTGCAGAAGTGAAGACACCACCGGAAGAGAGCGAAATGCTTCCACCACAGTGGAGTTCACCCGTGACACCAAGACGGAACCAGCAGCCTGTCGAAAAGACGCCACCTGCTAAGCCTAAAAGAGCACTGAAGTGAGTGGATTTTGAATTTTGTGCGATTGCGCGCTTAATTCACTCCAAAGATTTGACACATATTGAGTGTCGCATAGTAATATTTTAACTCGCAAGGCGGCTTGAATTATCATTTGGTCGAGTTTTCAGTTTTGTTCTGTTCTTTCAATAAGGACATCATTTCATATCATACCAATAATTAATTAGTAAACTGCATGGTTTACTGATAATTAGGCTTGACTCAGCTTTGATTAATTCTAGTAATAATTGCGAATGCCTCAACTGCAGCATGGACAATTATTATCTTTCACATTTATATTGGCATTTCTCTCGTCGAAAAGTTTCTTGGTTCAACTTGACACGTCGCAATCGTTAAGACTTTTTGTCGCTACTACGTAACTTACTAATACAACCGGAAACAGAGCCATGATTATTCTATCGATTAGCACCTCGTTATCGTGCGTAAGTTTCTATTTTCTTTTCCACACTTCTCGATAACTGCCTGTTGGATCGACCTGCTATCCCAATCTCATCCTAATGCAAATTCTTCTCTTTTTTGATATCCTCCATCCCTTCCCCGTACCAACGCACATCTTACAGGGCGAAACTTCAGGAACCGTGCAGCATAAGATGTTCAACGAGCATGGGCCTCATACCCAGCTTGCAATGTTGTGTCTGCCTGTGTTTGTATCATCCGGAGTGCGTCGGTGGAAAGGATTACGTCGCCAGCGACGATTACGTCTGCAAGGTGCGTTCCTCGGGGACATCTGCGGGGACGTAAATACCCGAAAGTTATGCCATTAAACTATGGTGCAGAGCCGAGTGAAGATGCTTTACGAATAAAACAGTGCATTTCTTTTGTAGAATTGTCAACAGGACACCGAGGAGACGCAGCCGGCTCAGCATCCTACGATGACTCCGTCCCTCACACCTCCGCCATTAATTCCGATAAGTATGCTTGGAGCGCAAAATGCAAAAACGAAACACGGAGTGAACATGACGCCCCCGAAATTACAAAGAATTCCGAAAACCGACGGCGCGGACGCCGCGCAGATGCAGACGCAGCAAAGAGCAGTCTCAAAGTCTCCGAAACCCGTGACAATACCAAAAGTTTCGTCGACGCCGGAAAAGAAAGAATCCACGTGGTACGCGCAGGCGCGAAACGAATATTTACACAGTCACGATGGCTCCTTGCCGAAACCAGCTCAAAACATTGCTCTGATGGCTGGCAAGAAATATATCGTGGTACCGAAAAACAATGCAATGGCCGTACAGCCGGCAATCACTGTCAAGCCTGACAAAATAGGAGACAAACCGCCTATTTTACATGACAGCCCGATCACTGACGTTTCCAATACCACCGAGATGTCCTTGACCTCCAGGATACCGACTGCTAGATCCTCCGAGACTGAGACCAAAGTTCAATTGGACAAGTCAAGTAGCAATGAAAGTATAAACATGGCGGAGAGTCCGGTCAATGAAACTCCCAGTGTATCCGTAGCTGAATTGGACGAGACTGTGATGGAGGAGGATGAGAAAATGGAAACGGAAACGGAAGTTGCCAAAATTTCAGAAAGCCTTCCGATTTCCACTAATGAAATTAGCAATGTAACTTCCAATGAAACTGACAGCACCATTAAACCTATTTCGAGCGTGAAAGATACTGAGTCAGAACCAAAGAAAAATGAGGAGAACGATAAAGAGTCTCAGGAGGAGACGTGCGAATCTGCTATTCCTAGTACCTTGGAAAGTCAAGATAATGTTAATACAAGGGAGAGCGACTCCGTTAAGGTTGACGATAGGGTCGCTACTGTACAGGCTGACAGCAAGTAAGTGAGGATGATTCTACGTAGACATTTCAGACGTTTTATTTGATTTCTTCTCCTAGCTTTGTATAAGTTATAAGATGATTCCCTTCTGAGGTTTTGGCAGTTGCTTTGTACATATTGTATTTACAAGATTTTAACGTCTAGGCGCGTCAACGGCTTTACGCGAGTCACCAGGGTCTATTGGCGAAACGATTGAGCCGATATCAAGTTTCTTTTTCTTTTATTGTCTTTATTACCTTTTGCTTTTTTTGTAGAATTAGTTCACACTCTTCTCAGGCATTTGGTGTTAGATCTAGAGGAGAATCGAGACTCGCTTGACTTTTTCAGATCCTTAAAATTGTAAATGCAATATATGTATACTGATGTTTATTATATTTGCAAATATAAAAACGCCAACGTGAAAAATGAATTTGATTTTGACTTATGATCGAAGCACACTGCCTTAGCTTCGAAATGGTGGTTGAATTCTTTAAGATTCGTAATTGAAAGACGGGAAAAATATATTTATCGAAGAAGCGTCCAGGAAAAAGAAGTTGGGTGTCTCGTTATCGGACTCTTCGAATATCCAGTAATTGTAGTATCAGGGTAAAATTTTAATGCTTCATCGTACGTGGAAGAATCGGTCACGTTTCGATGTAACTCGGGTCTGATTAATATTTGGGCGAATTTACGTGTAGCCTGTCCGCGTGCCGATCACAAGAGTATCTTTTTACGTTAATGCTACAATTATGGAATCAGCTATTGATAAGTGCTTCAGTGGAGAGAAAAATCTAATTCATTTTTACTTTTTATATTTACAGATATAAAGACATGTGCGAGCCGAAACAAAAAAAAACTCTTAGTGCGTTTTCCTATAACACAATCCCTAAATATCCTCCTATCCCTCCAACAGGATCCCACCTCCTCAGATTGTGTCTAAATTATACAAATTCATCTTATTTGCCATAATTGCCAGCAGTTGCTTTAGTTTCAAGAGGCTTTTATCTGCGTGTCCGTTGGTTTCTTATAAAATATTCTAATTTTTTAGAGAGCCTCTTTTTCTGGGTCCCTACTGAAATTTACAAGAACAAGATGAGAATGCTTAAAAGCCTCTTAGAAAATGATACTCCGCGCTGAACTCTTCGAATGTACAAAATCCTCCTGATGCATAAATCCATAAACATTGTGCGTCTTTAAATTGCAGAAAGCGACAAGTAACGGCGGAGACGGATCAGAGGCAACACTTCATGGTGTCCGTGTGCGCGGGTTATCACGCCCTCTCCCGCATCTTCCAGTACCTCAAGGTGCAGGAGCTGCTGCGCGCAGCGCGTGTCTGCAAAATGTGGCGAGATCTAGCAGCACATCCTGCTTTGTGGAAGACTGTGCGAATGAAGAATAGCCAGGTAACCGATTGGGATGGCCTGGCAGACTCGTTGAACAGACGTGGCACCCAGCACCTCGACCTGAGGAAGATGCTCGTCGCTGGGGAATCTGATTACATTTGGAAGAAATTCGTGTCGGTGATACCACGCGTTACCAGTCTCCTGAAGTTAGAATTATGTCGCTGTCCTGTGATGGTCGTCGAGGAAGTCATCAAGAGCTGTCCCCAACTTCAGGTGCTCAGCGCCATGTCGATAAAGTGCGACTCCCTCAACCTGGAATCCGTTGGGAACCTCAAACGCTGTCAAGAGTTGCGACTCAAAGCTATTAACGGGATGTCTCTGAAAGAAGACCTGTCGCCGTTGCAGCATCTGACTAGCCTAACGCACTTGGTGAGATCCTGGATTCTATAGTACCGTGCGAATCTACTGGTGTTTACTTGGATTATGATAGAGACATCACTTGTAATTGGTATTTATTTTTGCAGAGTTTAACGTCCGTTAAGGAATTAGGCAAGAAGAGGATCGAGATTCTGGAGTCCCTTACGAATCTTGAGACCCTCGAGCTTGGCGAGTGCTCTGATTTCCCTGAAAAATTCGGTACTGCTATTCTGACGAAGCTGCACAAGCTGGAGAGACTAAGATTGGAAAAGGGTCAAGGTTCATGTTGTACCTTTGATATCCTCGAAGGTATATCCAGACTGCCTACTTTGATTCAGTTGGAACTGGTGAACTTCGACGTGAAGAATGGATTCGACAAGTGTCTTGCCAATTGCAAGAACATCAAAAGACTTTTGATAATACCAACTTATATATCCCAGTCGGCTACGTCGAACAACATGGTTCTTGGTGGAGTCACGGAACTGTCAAATAATTTAACACACTTTGTCTGGGGTGTCACCTTGGAATTGCTTAGGGTCACTGAGCTTTTCGTTGATCAGTGTAATCAAATGAACAAACAAATTACTGGCGATTCTATACCTGTATTAAAACCAGTACCCTGCTTGAAGTTAATTGAAGACGTCGAGGAAGAGGAAACTTTAAAATGTACATGTCCATTGATTTTTATTCTTACAAATTGATCGGCACGTTTCCTGCTAAAAATGACAGCAATTCTTAACCATGTATTTCTGTCTGTTGCAGCTGATGACAAACAACCAAACTTAACGAATCCCCAGGTGGATATTCTGCCCTTGCCGCAATTGCAGAAGCTTTTGTTAACAGCCTTGCCGAAAACGAGGGTCAAGATCTTGAAGATACCTTTCCATGCCACGTGGAGGCAGAGCATTTCAGACAGTACTACTCAGTAAAGAGTATAAAATCGTGAAGGAAAATAATGTAGATGATATTTAAACGGATGAGAAAATAGACAAAGGAATTCTATGAACGCGAAGGTCTAGATTCCTTTTGAATTCGACTCTGTACCGTCAGCACAATTTACTTCAGTGTTTTGTGAAAATCGCGATAATCTTTATCACGTGTTGCGGAATCGTGAAAGAAAAAAAAGCACGACTTTGAGAAAAAGTGACATGGGACCAGAAGTACGCATTACTATTCGCTCGTCATATTGTCCCTTGCCATAGGAACAACCGAGAATTTCAGCTCGACTGATATTCTTAAAAATCGATATACCCTAAATACGATTTGCATGTGTACAATTTTCGAAAACGGAAAACCCCACTCACAAGAACATCGGTTTCCAAATCTCATCGACATTAAATCCTCCCCTTTTCTCGCGTCACTTTGCGATCTGCTCGCGCAGTGTAAATTCATGCTGCGAACGTTTTCATGAATACGTCAGTACGCCTTTACAATAATAATTGCAAAGAACAATTGCGAGGGCATAGAGTCGCGCAAGAGAAAGATCTACCCGAAGCGATGAGTTTGTGAAGCTATAAGAAAATTAAAGTAATTGCATTAAAATAATTGCAACCAAACAAGAGAAAAAAAACAACGCACATCTACAACCTACGGTGCGGACACCTGACGCCACATAAGAAGTGCTGAGCAGGTTTTCAGTTTTTATGAATGAATTGCAGCCTCAAATCCTCGATGGACGTCTTTCTCATAAAACGCCATAGACGTTGAAGATTTTTGTGTCCCACCTTAGAAGAGATCGAGCTGATACCGAATTTCTATCGTTAAAGAAAAAGGGAGATGAAACAGCAGATACAAAAAAAAATAATGAAAAACACGTTAATCATGTGGAGTATCTTTAAAATAAGGCTCTATCTAGGATTCTAAGCTGTATAAAATAATTCTACATATTATTAATATCGTAATTGTATCTGTATCTCTTAGTATTTAAGTGGCGTAAATGATAATGTCGCAAAGTTCACCAGGAAGAAGATTGTCACACGACCAAGTGGAGTGTATAATATTGCCATGCTTTATCGTTTTAGGCATAATCAAATGTCGCTCCGTGGTCTGACGTGCAGTATGTAGTGATAGTGCGTTTTAATGCTAAAGTATAATATACAAGATAATCGAAAGAGTAGCTCGATAGGGCAGAGATAATAAAAGATAAGACAGATATTCCTCTGTCTTCCGGCGTCTTCGAGGCTCCTAAAGAGAAGAGAGGACGTGAATGAGGAAATTCGAGAAATGGAGAGAGAGAGAGAGAGAGAGAGAGAGAGAATGCTATATTTTATACGTACCACGATCACTCTCGAGGTCAAAACAGAATTTGAATTAAAAAGAAAATGGACCCTGAGTAGATTATATAGGTTAAATAGCCGCTCTAGCAAGCGGCGGAAATTCTACGGCGCTATAGAGTTACTTTTAGTATTAGGCTTTTTAGTCTTAAGAAGTAAAGCACATCCGGTTACTAATAAATTGGTTGTAAGATACTTGGCTTTGAAAATTCTACTTGGTCGTTTCTTGTAAAGATTAATGGCTTATTATGGCGACTCTTCTTCCTGAGTTTTGCGACACTATCAACTGACATACGATATCACGCGTTTTACTTTAGCATTTTTAGTTGAAACAAAAATCACAATACATTTTTCTCGATTAAAGATTTAACGTTAGGGGGTCTCTATGGAATATGTTCCAGCTTGTATGGTTTATCTTATGATGAATAACATTGATTATCTTAATGTTTACTGTCAAACAACCTTTGAATTTATAATGTGGAATTAAATTGTATCAAAAATGGAACAATTCACTTTTTGAAGGAAGAAGCAACAACGCCAGCAACAATTGCAAGGAGACAGGATCATTGCACAAACTATTGAGAATTCCGTTTACCATTAAATTCTAATGATCTTTCTTTTATACATAATATAATGTTCTCTCTTGTTCATCGATGAACGCGCAAATCGGCGATTTTCACTGTTATGCTTTCTGTTCAAGCATAAAGTAAAATTTTTATCCCTATGTTGATCGACAAAACTGTTTTATTCTATTGGATGTTTGATAATGATTTCTCCTCGTGTGCTACTATCTCATATGTTATCGTTAGTGAACAAAGATTTATTGTAGAAAGTTTTGTAACTGGCCACAGCAAAAAAATAAGAGTAAAAGGATGTGAACAAGTATAAATTATGATTGATGATAGTAGACGAAGCGACAAACTTTTAGATGCTCCTCGAAAATATACTCTGTTATGTAGAATCACAGCAGCAACGAATGTGCATTCTTTGTTTAAGGAAAAAAAAAAAGGAATCCCGTGGAAAGTCGAAATAAATCATATGTTTGTTAAGGTTTTACTCGTCTAAACACGATTTCTATGTGTAGTTTACTGAATGCGTATGGAACGGTGTATAATGTTTGTGATAGTTTACTACAAGAAATGAACAGTAGATACAGGTACATAAGTACATTGTAGATAAAAGCTTTCGGTGTGAGAAGCAACCTACAACTGTGAAGATGAAATTTATTTAGTTTTCGAAATCGTTTATTTGCGAAAGTTATACACGGGAATCAGCCGCGAGTTCAGATCGAAGAATGTTTGAAAATTCTGTGGAATGCGAATCACGACGCTTAAGTATGATGTATCTTAAACAATGGCTTTGTAAGTCCTACTGAATCAACGAATGTGTGAAATATTCTGAGGGAGACAATAATAGTATCACGGGATGAAATAAAAAAAGGTATTATTAAAGCGTGGTAATGATGATTGTTGGTAAGATCGTGAGAAAGTTAAACGCAAATGCGAAAGTAGGTGACCCCCGGCTGAACGAAAAATCAATAAGTACAAGAAGGGTTGGTGTGTCGTACGGGGAAGTTGCTAGTGCTTTCGAGGTTATGTGTGTCTGGATTCCGACACCCACGTCGGGTAAAACTCTATTTTTAGGAGGCGAAATCTGTGCATTTCTAGGTGTTAAAGCGACGTGTCTATCCGCTCGGGCGTTATAATGTGTCTGCATGCTGGTCGAATCGCTAGAAGCGTTGTGAGATAATATAAAGATGGGCAGAAAGAAAACTCATGCCTCCGGCAAATGTAAACATCACGCTGCACCGCAGAAGAGGATTTCACCCGCGAAAAGGAATGAGATCAACGTTCAGTGCGAGAAATTATTTCATTGTAAGTATATTCAAGGTTTTTCTGTGTTTTTCCCTGGCATCCGATGAAAACGTTCATGCGGCACCTCTCACGGATCATTTTCATATAGTTTTTTGGTTTTTTGTACTTTCTGTACTTTTACTTATATGTAATTCAGATATATGCTCTTCAATTTGTTGCTAGTTAAATATTAGAGTATTTATTATATATCCCTGTACCAAAACAAATCTTTCACTGTTCTTGTTACAGTGAGCAGCAATCCTGCGTATGTCACACAACTATGGGACAATTACCTGGAGATTTTGGCTGTTTTGGAAAAGGTTAAACGATTGGAGGAAATGAAGACGGAGTCGTCAAAACGTTTCCAGGCTATCGGACAATTCATTAAGTGGCTCAGGGACAATGGCGCTAATGTGGATGGAGCAAGTATAGCTGAGTTTCCTGGTTTCGAATTGGGCTTGAAAGCTGAAAAAGATTTCATACAGAATCAGCTTATGTTGGAAATACCACGAAAATTGATTCTGAGCGTCGAGTCTGCTGCTCCAGAACTTACGTCACTGCAGAACGATCCATTGGTACAGCACATGCCACAAGTGGCTTTGGCAATTGCCCTTCTTATTGAAAGGCATAAGGAAAATTCAAAATGGAAACCCTATTTGAACATTCTACCAACAACATATTGTACAGTTCTCTATATGAATGCCAATGACATGATCGAACTAAAGGGCAGTCCGACATTAGGTGAGATCATTGATGCTCAAGGATAGATTCGTTAGTTCTTATCCGAATTGTCAAACAAATTGTGTTTCTCTTCAATTTCTCACAGAGGCGGCATTGATTCAGTGCAGGAATATTGCGAGGCAGTATTCGTACTTCAATAGATTGTTTCAAAACAGCCACAATGCGGTGTCTGATTTACTCAGGGAAGTTTTCACCTACGAGGAGTACTGGTGAGTGCTAGAAGTTTAGAACTAAGGTGTGGGTTCAACAAAAACAAAACACTGATGTGCATTTGATAATATTTATATAAAAGACAATTCGCGTGATGAACCTTAAATAAATATACTCTATCCTAAAATACTTTTAATAATATCAATTTTAATGGTTCAACGCAATTAAGGTACATTCAGTATAAAAAGGCAGATCGATTCTCTGGACTATGAACATCAATCACAGTATCTTCGCTTAGAGTGAGGAAAAATAAGAACCATCTGATAAATATTTTCCTCGTGTAACAATTACAACATCCTAATTCATTATTTGATGGAATTCCTAATATTGCACGATACTTTTTGGTCGCCATAATTCGTAGAATTAAACTCAATAAATAATGTGAACTTAATCTTAGAGTAAAGTGATTTAGATGATCAATCATTGGAGATTATTTCCATTTGATTACTCGTAAGGCACATACAGGCTATCTCTTTTAAATTGTTAATTCGTTTTATCAAATACTTGTGTAACCATATTTACGTCTACGAAGATACTGGTAAACTTTATTATTGTGTTCCATAAATGTCAACTTTTCCATTCACTTCATAAAATCTGGTATAGTTTCCCAACTATCATTAGGATCTAACGAGTCATTTTCTATGTCACTTCTACTCTCAAAGTCATCATTGTCACGTTGTTCACGTTTTTCAGCTCGCTTAGCAGTCGAAGTAGCAACCACATTTACCATAATGGTGTTTAGACTACTAGTATTTGAGAGTTTTCGTGCGGTCATCATCGGCGCCTGAAATACCGCCCTGGAAAATGTATTCCTGTATGTAAACTTTTGCTTCTGGCGTATTCTGCAAACAATGAAAATGCCCAGGAAGACGACTATCGTCACACCGAGTATAGCACCACTGGCGATTATGCTTGGTCTAACTTTAGAGAGAGTCCTTCTGTCCTCGCTGTTCTCCTCGTCGTCCTTTTCACTATCCTGAGGGACATCAACCTTCATTGTATCTATCGAACTCTTTTTCTCAGACTCTTTCACGTATTCTGATTCCACGATTTCTGTTGGGCCAGGTGGATCTGAATTAGATACTGGAAGCTTGACATCGGTGATACTGGTAAAGTATGAGGACCCTTCGGAGTCATGTTGAATATTTTTTGAAAATGGCAGTGAGTCAAATCCTGATATTAGGTCTAATAGTTGAGCTGACAATTTATTATCTTCCGTAGTCCCTTGGGCATTTTCTTCAAGAACCTCAAGACTATGTTCATCGAAGTGCATTGTACTTGGTGGTGGATTCAGTGAAGTACTCTCAGAATTATTTTTTATATCCTCCTCCTCCTCCTTCTCCTTATTTCGTATTTTTTCTCCATAGGCCCCAGGATCTTCCATCTTTTCTCTACGATTCGACACTGTTATGTTTTTAGTAACAGAATCCTGTTGATTGTTTTCCAGAGTCTTGAGGATTGAAGGTACTTGCATCTTTAGACGTTGCTCACGAGATCTGAAAGCCTCTGCCAGATGGACTTGGCTAGAGCCTCGTTGCCGCAGGGCAATCAGTTCCTCCAGACTCATATTTCTAGCCTTCAAAAGTCTCTCGAGTCTCTTTACACTTGATCCGGAACTGAACAATTCAGAAATTTCCGCGCGAGCTTCCGGTTCTACTTGAGATATAATGTCTTCGTACCCCCTGTGGTTAGTCGTTACGTTCTTATGCCTATCTGTGAAACTTTCATCCTCGTCTCGTTCATCTAGATTGTAATCAGCGTGAGACTCTTCGCTAGGAACTTCAATCTCAATTTTCTTCTGGTCATGAGAACCGTCCTTATCAATCCTCATGGCATAAGTTAAATTGTCCTTCGGATCCTTGATATCCTCCTGAGAGACCTGGTGCACAGCGTCACTCTGATAGTCCACCTCTAAGGTATCCAAAGTATAATTCGTATGATTGACCGTATTTATTGAATCATTAAAATCCTTACTCATTTCCTTTACAGCTCTCTGAACCTCCTCGGTAGTGCCAACCTCATCATCAATCATCTCGTCACTTCCTGCTACACGCTCAAGAGTATCAGTCTTCTCGGTTGAGCTCAAAATATGCTCAATACTCAATGTCGATCCTACATCCCGAAGAGTGTCTCCCGACTTTGCAACTGGTGACAGAGACGTGCTTGGCACATGGAACGTGATGTCCATCCTGACCGTTGCAGTGGTCTTGGGTTTCTTAAGAGTGAAGTCTGAGAATTCCATTATTTCATCCTCGTCAATCTTCGTCGAGGTCAACCCGTAATCGTCATCGGACCTCGTTTTACTCGTCTCCCGTTGGAACTCATCCAAGAGGTCTTTGGCATCGGCTTTGATCGTCACGATTTGCTTCGGAGACTCGGTGAAAGATTCGACAGTGGGTGAAATTATTTTCTCCGTGAACCTTTGAATCTGTGGAATCCTTCCGTACGGTTTGGACGTCGTTCCTGTCAGGGTGAGGTCTCCGTTTGTTGGCGGAAGGCGATCCGGGAAGTACGTTACTCCTGTGCCCGGAAACGCAATTGTCAGAGGATTTCTAGTTTCGCTCTTGCTTAGAATCCGTTTGCTTGGCATCCAACGTGGACGCTCCCTTCCGGTATTCTTAGACACATCCGGCTTTGTCTTTACGATCGGCAGCTTGTCCTCGTTCGTAAAATCATCGCTACTCGATTTTAATACATCAATGGCGTTGGCATTTCCTTTGAGAAGATCGGCCAGGGTCAAGTTCCGTTGCTGAAGAATTTCCGAGAGGCTCAGTCCTCCGCCTTGTTGCATCTTCAGGAGAGTCTTCAGTTCTGTGTTCTCAGGCGTCCTGTCTCTCGGATTAACTCCTGGACTTCTCGATGAAAAATTTGGCTTTCTCTCCGTCCTGCTGTCCTCCCTGTAATTCCACGGCGCTCTGGTATCCGTGGAAGCCGTTCCTACGCTTTGAATTGTCGCATAGGAATTCTTCGGCTCTGCGAATTCCGAATTCTGCGGCGGTCTGCGCTTTCTAGGTCGCGGCTTCTCGTACTCGTCCTCCATCAGGTCATACTCGCTGGGACGGTTTTGAAAAGCCTCCTTATATCTCAGAGCTACACTGTCCGCGTTATCAACGTCCTCAAATGATAATCGCGGGCCATTTACCTTTGCTCTACTTTCAGTGCCCAAGTCGCTCTGTTCATCGCTTTGTGAATGGTTATGTCGGTTTTCATAACTTTGGAAATTTTTATAGCCATTCCTATGGGAATGTTCGTAATCCTTATCTATGGAATATTTCTCTGTGCTTGAAATTAATCTTTCCAATTGTTCATAGCTTCCGGATTGGTCCTCCGATTGCCTGGATTCAGTTCTACGATCCTCAGGACGTTCACCTGCACTCACAGCTTCCGATTCTCCATGATCATCTTCCTGGTACCGAGTATCCTCCTTCCATCTATCCTGAATGGATGCTGCATGGAAGGGGACAAGCGGCACGATGTCACCATCCCTCCACTTTGGCTCAAGTGCTTCTCCATTGCTTCTCCACTTTCCAATAAGTTTCCCACTACCGGACTTGGAATCTCCACCAGGATAATAGCCCTCATCGGGGTATTCGTGCTCGTAGATATCCCTCCTGGCATCCGCTGAGTATTCCTGAAATAATATAAAGTGATAGACTCATCAGGCAAATTCACGATCTTAAATTTAATTATCAGTCACAAGTAAAAACGTATTTTCACAGGTATCACTACTCCAGACATTAGAATATACATATGTCCACATACTGTCTGGTATGTAGGTTCTCTGAACCATACTTAGAAAACTGTCTACTGTATTAGCGAGGTACACAAGTCTCCAAGAGATCTGTAAACGTTAGCTCGCAGTAGCGAGAAAGTTTGCCCTTCGCTATTACACTGGAAACACGCATCGGGATCTCATAGATATCAGGACACTTGGTAGCTGTTGGCGAATCGATGATTTTTTAATGACTGTGCCGTCAGTGAGCATGACGAGGATAAGTCGAAGGTGCTGGATTCTTATTATACGCACGGATACGCTTTAGCGACTCTCGCAGGTATTATCAACATAATTTATATGAATTTGTTCTTTCACTTATCAAGCGTTTATTAAATTTATAACAGATTGACTATCGCTGCCTTCGCGATCAAAGGGAAGACGCTGGTGAACGTTCGCGTCAAACGAGCCGTGCGAACGTAAATAACCCCGAAAGTTCAACGACCATAAAAAAGAAAGTTTCGCGGGTATTATCATCATTGTTTTCCGGTTGCACAATTGGATGAAAGTAACTGCGAGCTACGAAAAACTACGAGATCTTCTTATCCGTCGTAGATCTAAGGCCCGCGGGACACGAGAACGTAGTTTCACGAGAAATATCTTTTAATTGCTTCTGGTACCAACTGCTGCCAGTGGCAACAATGTTACCAATTACGCAGCGCACCCTCCCCCCTCTCTCCCCCACCTCTTCAACTACGCACGAGGCTAAATTTCAATGATCCGCTGCTAAATCTTCTCGGTATCTCTGAAACCTTTGCTTATGGGATTCTTCCTGTATTTATCTTTACCCTGACTAACTTGCAACTGCGAGACGTTCAGCATTCTCATGTTGGCTGACATTCTTATTTTAACTGTCTCACGCACTTTGAGCGAACCTGCGAAATGCAATGAAAATCTCGAACTTTCTGCTGCTGCGTTATACGTGCCAATTTTTTCTCTCTTTTTTTTTTGTTTTATAAATCCGTGACTCTGCCCTTACACCTGTAGCTGCTGGCCACATACTAGAGTGATAAATAATACTTTTCTTTTTTTTTTGCATGTCCTACCCTTCTGTTTTCGACACGATCCCGCCTCCTGTTCCTGTGCTCCGTCGACGCTGCCAATCCAATGAAAATTATTATGAAGATTGGACACGACACTTTTTTCCACATCGTTGCGCTCAAACGGCTTTAACGCATCATAACCGTACAGATCGACGAATCACGGCAGTATCGATACTCGTTTGTTGTACGCCTTGCAACAATAGTTTATTGTCCAGTCAATAATAGAGTCTCTTGTTAAAGGTGCCTCTGGATGGTTGTAGGAACAAGTGCACGTAGAGTGCGCTTATGCACAGAATACAAAAAATTATGTTTTTGCGATTGCACAGTTTAGATAGTAACACTAAATTCATATAGCTGATCGGACAGCTTTTCCTTTATAATAAATGCACATTAATATTAATGACAGCACTCGTCATTAGTTCAGGCCTCGTACACATTGTCGGCGATCTTTCCTGAATTGATTTGCTGGTGAAATTAGTCTACGCAGGATTCTAGGAACTGTCACTTTACGATCTTGACTATATTGTACTGCTTCTCTGTTTCTCGATTTAATATCTTTGTGCTCGAATCGATCGAACCACTCTTGGTAAGTCTCTCCTTCAAACTGATGCCGTTTTCTCTCGCTGCCCGCGTAAGTAAGTCGGTGAAACTTAAGGAGTCTTCTAAAGGTTCCTAGACAGTCTCTCCCGTCCTGTCGACTCTTCTCGCACTCACTCACTCTCTCTTATTAACTCTATTTTTATTACTCATCTCTCTCTCTCTCTCTCTCTCTCTTCCTCATTCACTCGCTCACTCACTCACTCGTGCAATTCGCAGCCCGCCTCTCCTCTCCTCTCCTCTACCTCCTGTGCATTGGAGGATGGATTTCATCTTGGTGCTCAAGTAGATGCAGGATAGCAGGAGGGATCCGATAGATAGGTGCTCGTCTACATTCTAATTTCTAAGTCGTCGCATTAATATTGCGGAAGGAAAGTCAGCAAAGGAATCCAGACGCGAGTTAAGACTGAGGATTCTTTCTTACCTTTTTTCTATCTATTTATATTGGTTAGGAAGCCGAGGATGTTTTTTCTTGCCTAGAATAGATCCTACTGACCCTTTCTTTTTTTTTTATTTATTTTCTTTTTTTTTTGTAGAATTAATCTATCATCAGCCAAAGTCTTAATAGCTTATCGAAGAGCTCCCAAGGTAACGATGGATTCTTCATGTGTCGGTAGATTCTGTTAAACGTGTTTAACTGTTTCCATCAGTGCCATTGCAATGTATAATGTTGTATAAAGTGGAATAATGTTTTTTTCATATGAATATCGAGGCTGCGCTACCTGGTCACAGGGACGACTTATCTGGTAGAAAGTGTAGAGGCCTGAAGATCTCACGATCTTCAATTCTTCACGCGACCTTCAACACAATCAGCGGAGTGTGTCTTCTGTGCGTCCTGTGTGTCCTGTGCGTCCTGTGTGTGTGCCTAGAAGATGAGACTCTCTGAAACTCCTTTCTTGTGCCGCATTAACTGACAGCGCTAATGTTATTTTCATTTTCGATATTGCAGTCAAGACTGGCTTTAGGCTTTTCCAACAGTTCCCCATGTTACTCTATTCATCTGCAAAAGGTAATCTTGGTTATCCGGATACACAGAACGAACGATGCCACCGGGAGCAGGTACCATCCGCATGCGCGAGTCACGTGGAACCGCTGAAGATCTACCTGAACTTTCACGCGTTTTAGTTGATCTTGTAGAAAGGGAAGGAAGAAAAAAGTGTAAAAATCGAAAGACTCGCAATTACTTTCGCATTTCGCGCAGCTAAATAACAGAAGTCACGTAAACACTCGCTGGAATTCTATTTGGATTTTGTATAAGGACTTGGACGCCACGACGCAGCCATCCGCACGCTTCTGCGTTCGTGATCGGAGTTCAGAATTCATTTCCACGTCGTGGAGTCCTTAGGCGGTCAGGAACTCGTAGATGGGATATCATCAGAAGCTAATTTCCTCTCTCCCTCCCTCCCTCTCTCCCCCTCTGTGATGTTGCTGCGCAATGTTAACTGTGTCTAGGCAACACGTCTGCAGTCCGTCATGCCATTTCCTGTGAGAGAAAGTCGTTTTTAACAATAAGGACGTAGATACTGATATTCTCACTTGTATCCTCGTTTCCGGGATTTCTGGGTCAAGTTCGTTCGAAAAGACCGGTCCTGCCTCAGGGTATAATTTTCAATAAACCTATCTATGGAGGATCCCCACGAGTGAGCCTTTACGTTTCAAATTATTTCTAGCGATAGAAAGTTAGCATCGATTAGGCGCAACCTGGTTTACTAAAATTTGTGAATTCTGGTATAGGTGTGGAGTAGTGTGTGTGTGTGTGTACTTGTGCCATGGTTATTGGTTAGTAATGTGCTCTAAGTCGATTTGACATTTTTTAATGATTTTTACTTATTTTGTCTTTCAGCTGGGCAGTCTCCACTGTGATGACCAGGCAGAACATGATTCCCAGTGCGAATGGACCGCAGATGATACATGCTTTGATACCCATGTGGGATATGTGCAATCACGAAGAAGGCACTGTAAGTGTCGATATGACGTCGATACATAACATTTTTCTTTTAACTTTTAAACTTTTAATCTTTAGATAACTACGGATTTCAATCGCGACACTGACAGTTGCGAATGTTTTGCACTGAGAGACTTCAAAGAAGGGGAACAAATTTTCGTTTACTACGGACCCAGGACAAACGCTGATTTCTTTGTGCATTCTGGCTTCGTGTATCCAAATAACAAGCAGGTACGCCTAGTTTCATTGACTGAGTTATAAAAGAAAAATTCTTTGGTTGTCAGCCGACGAGTACTAATTGATGCAAATGATAAGACTGTCTTCTATCCTGTCTTAGGATGGTTTCAAGCTTCGTCTGGGCATCAGCAAAGCAGACTCACTTCAAAAAGAGCGGATAGACCTCCTGGAGAAGCTAGGACTGCCGTCGGTCGGTGAGTTCCTCCTAGTCCCAGGAACCGAACCAATTTCAGATCTGCTCCTGGCCTTCCTGCGCGTCTTCAGTATGCGCAAACCGGAACTCGAACATTGGCTCCAGTCCGACAAGGTCTTCGACCTGAAGCACATAGACTGCGCCCTGGAGACCGTGGTCGAGGAAAACGTGAGGAAGTTTCTGCTCACCAGACTCAAACTTTTGATCGCTAACTTTCCCACGACATTGGACGTGAGTAATTGTTGCTTCACAGACTGTTCCGAAAGCTAGAGGCGCGCATTGACGAGCTTGATAATTGCAGGAAGACTTGGAACTCCTTAAGACGACTTTGCCCCACGCCAAGAAATTGGCGGTTCAGCTCAGGGTATCTGAGAAGAAGATACTTCACGGTGCTCTGGATTACGTCGAACAGTGGATCAAAGCGTAATTGTCTTTATACGCCAACATGAAAGAAGTATGCGCAACAAGTAGAATGTGTGTGACGGTTAGAACTCAATAATGAAATTAAAGAATCTCACCCGATGCCAATATTATTTTTACAAGAGACGGGGAGAGAGAGAGAGAGAGAGAGAGAGAGAGAGATGGTCCGATAACGGTGAATACCAGTGAAGCTGCTGAATTTTCCAGGATTCCTGGATCGTGCGAAAGTATAACTGTTTCTTTGGTATTTCACTGTACCTATATATAGGGTGGGGTATCCCTGCATTGTACTCTGTAAATTAAAATAAATATATATGTATGTATGTATATGAGATAAGCTTGACGAAAGGATTATTGTGAATCGCGTAAATACGTGTAATGATTTAACGGATATGAAAAGTGAAATTGATCAAGTTCTTGTGCTCTCTATAAGAAACATCGCATTGTCTTAATAATGCACGAATTTGGCCAATAACCCTTTACTGTTACAGGGTGTTACAAGCTCTCTGCCTTGCTACACTTTAAGTCTCTCATTAACTCTAAGAGTAGGTAATAAAGTGCTTCGTTTCAAATCATAAATTAACATGAAAAGACAAGCTATCATTTGGTTGTTCAGTTGTACATCAGTGAAGAGATAAATTTGTAGAGCTAGACATGAAGGATTGGAAATATTTATTTTTTAAGAGAGAGAGAGATACACCTAAGAAATATTTACAGTGGCGTACTATGTGCTATTTACTACCTTATGCCAATGATATTATAAAGGCTGTTTTACAAGTACGTTCAAGCTGTAAGCAGCCGTACGATGTGCCGTATTAATTTTTAATAAGGAAAATCAGAAGATAGATTCTCGTCAATAAAACAAACTTAGAACGAGTATCAGACCACAGCGTGTGCATTAATACCGTATTTAATCGATGGTATCCTTAAGTACGATTAATGTGTGAATAAATTAAATAAAATCGCATTGATATTTCCTCATGGTCGGTTTGTTCATCTCAACCTGAACTCCCAATAATCGACAATCATTCGTGCATTGATCAATTGCAGAATTCATCCGTTATTGATTGTAATAGTCAATTAGTTCCATCGATCGTCAAGAGATGGCATTCTCCTCGATAAATTATCTCATCGTTAAGGTCAGACAAAGTTTTGTCCCTGCTTGCCTGGCTTTATTGAAACTTTAAATATCCTATCGTCCTAATCGAAACTGTCAAATTGACCCTGGCGCAGAATATGTCGATGAAAGCAATAATTTCTACTTTTATGACATTCGAAATATCGGTCAATCGTGCCAGTTTGGGCTTGAACCTTGTACAATGTTTCCGCAATAGATTCCAGCCGTGTCTCGTTGGTTTATGTAAGCCGATAGTAGGAGAAGAGAGGCTTATCAATTGGCTCGGAGTGAAATTGATCGTACCGAGAGTAACCAAGTGTAGCGTGCACGGATTTCTAACCTCAAACCGCGAGATTTGTCAGTGTCCATAGTCATAAATCCATCGAGAGAAACGAAGAGAGAAATTTATACGAAAAAATGAGCTTCCGTAAACCAAGAAGAGACTCGGATGTGGTTCTATCGAATTCCAGTCACAAGGAACTCCTCTTCAAGTTCCTGATAATCGGCGACTACGGCGTCGGTAAGAACGGATCTTAAACGTCAAAGATAAACAAGCGTCCCTGGTCGCCACTTACAGTTTAAAGACCTTGCACACCCCAACGCATTGTAAACTCACATTGTAGTCGTTGTCCCTGAATTGAAAGAAAAAGTAAAAGACAGTTTCCACGATCATCTTGGTTTGCTCTCCTGTAGAAAAATCCGTAGAGACAGACAGGACAGACACACTCGTTAGCTATAAACCTGCCGTTATTTATTTTCAGGTAAAACGGCCATCGTTCGCAGATATACAGAGGGTAAGTTAATAACGATATGTGCCTCTTATTTTTTTTATTTATATTTTTCATTCACTTCCTGTATAGTCGTTGTCTCACTTATCATTTTTTTTATTCAGACTTGTTTTTCTTAGCCCTTCAGACCTTTTAATTATGTATTTGGCCTGTTTCACGCGGTTTATCCATTAACTCTTTACGCAAGTCGAATGTCTCGTGGCTTTGTTTTATCTATTTTCTCATCACGATAATATCTCTGTTTCTCCTGACCTTTTTTTTAATAAAATTGTCTCCCTTTGACGCATCGCTTGTAACAACCGAGCGTCACCCTGTCTAAGACGCTTAAATTAATCCTTTCCAAGCACCGTGACGATTAACTCCTAGACAACAGCAACATCAGCAACCGTTGCGATTGATCCCCTACCGGTGGATCGTTATCCTCTTACATAAAAGCAATTTTCCGGACAAAGTAGCTTAACGCCCGCGTCTCTCTCGATCCTTAAGTCTTATCATGGTACAGATCCAACTTTGACTTTCATAGATTTTAAATAAGCGACGATAAAACTGGCACATATATTAATACAATCAACGTAAATTACAACTCTACAAAAGGGTCTTTCAGCACGACCAACCAAACTTTTTTCCAGGGAAGTTCTCCTCGAATTACAAGATTACCATAGGTGCAGATTTTGCGATAAAAACGCTCGATTGGGATCCCCACACTAAAATAAACTTGCAATTATGGTACTGCCGGCTTATCTCTCTCTACGCTGGGAAGCCGCAGGGCAGAACGTTCCGAATCCCAATACGTAATTCATCCCACTGTCCAATAATATTGATCGTACTCCAAGTAATTAATCGATTCTCATGTGTTTTGAATTCTCTTCGTTCTGCCCTGACGGTATCCATTGTTTTTTTTTCTTTTTTTTTCGTACGGCAAAGACTACATTACGTGACTACAAGTGGGCCTTATTTTTTTAGGGACATTGCGGGACACGAGAGATTCGGTTACATGACCAGGGTTTACTATAAATATGCGTAAATATTGCTTTAACATCTATTTCTTTTTTATATTGACTCGCATGCTTTCTTTCTAACGTATATTCGATACGATATACATAAATAACTTTACTTGATTATTTCTCTTATTTTCTCTCTTTCTATTTTCTTTGTACGTGCAGTGAATAACATCGCGTCTCTTTATCTGCTCCGTTATTAAAATTAACAACTTTCTCATTTAAACGTATTCTTTTATTAGTCACTACTATTTGTCGACACGTCCTTCATTGTCATCCTAGTACAATGTCTATCTACGAATTTGCAGTGTCGGTGCTGCCCTGGTTTTTGATATATCGCGAGTCGCCACCTTCCAGTCGGTAAAGAAATGGCTGAGCGACCTCCGGGAGAAGGTCACGTTACCCGATGGATCCAGTATACCCATTGTTCTTCTGGCAAATAAGGGCGACATATCACACGTGGCGATACCGACCGAGCAAATACTTAAATTCTGCAAGGAAAACGAGATCGGCGCCTGGTTCATCACTTCGGCCAAGGAGAACGTCAATATCGGTCGGTAGACAATCAATGTCCACCTTTGGAATTCATTTTTCATTAAATTTACATTTTCACGGTCCAGATGAAGCTATGCGCTTCCTGGTTGACAGCGTCATCAAGGCCAAAATAGAGGACGAGATACGCGACTCCATTAAACTACGCGATACTCCTCTTCAGCAGGAGAAACACGGCTGCTGTAAATCCTGATGGAAATTACGAGCTGCTCCTTCGGGTGACACTAAAGCTGATCAGTGGACACGGATATACAGATTATATGTCGAAAGCTCAACGTAAACGTCACATATCATCTATACCAATGCATTCCTGATTACTGGCCAATGTAGCTACAGGTTGTTTCATTCCTCTTCGCGCGCTAGTATTTATTATTATTATCATCACTGGCTACTCCGAGCCATTATGTCGTTACGATAAAAACATACAAAGCAGTCTTTTAAAATGGCTCGGGGTATCTTACTACTCGCATAACAATACACTTGGTGCCATTGTCGATGTCCGAGATTATAGTAAAAGTCGATTCTTCTGGGAGGTGTAAGGGGGTGTGTTAGAATATCAGAGTTGTGTGCAATTATATTAATGGAAATTGTATATTTTTAATCTAAGTATTATTTCACGTCCTTATACGGATGTGTATATTATATATTTCTGTATATGCCTTTTTTTGTCTATTGTACATATACGTAATACTTGTCACGAAGATAATAAAGTCTTACTGCGTCGCAGTTTTATTTACACGCTTGAAACTTCTTTCTTTGGTCGTTCTATCTATAAATAAAATATACACCTTTTCGATAAACCCTCAGAATGATTATCTCTACAGCGTGAGCGGCGTATCGTCTCGAGGACCGTATACGTCGTGTCGTCTCCTGACGTGAGATTTTCTGCAGAGCGAACAAGAAATCTGCACGTCAATGGCAGACGCGTTCTGTCAATTTAATATCAGCGGCGGCAATTCCAGATGTCAAGCCAATAAAACACATTGGCACGATAAGACAGGGTAACTTTCCGCGAACGCAAAGCTAAATATTGGCTGCCTGTTTCTCCACTGATAATCATTACTCGCTGAGAAATCATCGTGAATTCATGTATTGGCTTAACGGAACGACCGTCTCGTTCTTATCGCCTGGCTCTCTTCACGTCCTCCCCTCCTTCCCCTCCTTACCCTCCTTCTGCCAGCATTGTACTTGGAACTCGTCTTGGAAACTCATTAACAAAATATACAGTTGTAACGTAATCACAGGTCTGGAGACTCGGTCGGCTTCGACACGGTAAAATAATAAATAAACTTAGTCTAAGACTTAAAATAATTAACGTAGACGTAGACGTAGTTGCTTTGGAGAAGATAATGAAAAGAAAAGAGATGCGTTATCCATATTAGTGTTGATCCAACTCTTTTCGGTTTCTTGGCTTTTCCCGTCTTTTTTTGTATTCGTTGAGCAGTCCTTTGAATTTCCCAGTTTATCCCGCGATCCTATCTCGTCCTTCCGGTTCAGATAACTACGTCGAGCTGGGAATTCCTCACAGGATTCATGGCAATGGACACAGTCGACACCATAGTCTTACTATAGTTGTCCTTCGATTGATCTAAAAGAGTGAGAAGAACGTTTTAATTCAAAATCCATATTAAGCATCAGTCGAAAGTAAACCTTTTCGATGTAATTTCAAAAATAAATATTCCACCAAAAAAAGAAAAGTGCCATAGCGGTTAACACATACGTAAGTAATGCACCATAATGTCCCGGTATTAGTCAAATGAATGAAAAAATGTGAAAGTAACAGATGAAAAAGAGTGAAAAGCATATACTGAAGAAAATGATAGAGAGGCGATTAAGTAATCGAGGAAAACAGAAGGAAAGCAGACCAAAAATTAAAAAGACAGCTACAGATAGAAAATCTGAAGATATTATAGTCGCGTATCGAAAAGTTCTCCGGTTGAGTTGAAAATTCAATCGGATTTCTATGGAGGCGTGTAACAGCGGTGTGGCTTTATTTCCATGCGTGCGACCCTATTCAAGGTGAATATTCACAGCACGCACAGGAATTCAGCCGAGGTAGCTTTTTTTATTATTATATGCAGCAGTGGTGCCCGTGCAGGTCGGCCTTATTACATTAGCTCGGCAAGATGTTACGTTAGCGCACAGATTCGCGAGTTGCTCTGACAATCCTTATCTCTAAGTTAATATGAAACCGAAGCGTTGCAACAAATTTTACATGTTAAGAACACTCGTGACGAGTTGGAAGGTTCGACTAGGAACAATACTACGTACAGGTAATTAATCGAACTTTACAACCTATACTTAATGGCATTACGTATTTGTCTTAATTACATAGAGAATTAGTGTACCTAGCTTATTCACCACGTTTTTTTTTACATGCTACCCGTTCCTGTCCGCGTTAATAGTAGAGAAGAGTGTGCAGTGTGACATTTAACTCGCTTCGGCAACTCCTGAAAGAAATATGTTACATGAAGAAAAGGAAAAACACAGTCTAAGGAGGCAATTCGACGAATTAATAGAATGACCCAGCAGCTGGATAAGGGGGATAGCGCGAACATCATGTGTTCCCAAGTGCAAACACGAGACAAGTAAAACTACATGGAGGTAGTAGAATGAGAGAGAGAGAGAGAGAGAGAGAGAGAGAGAGGAGATTCTGTAAGAGTAAGAAGAAAGAAAAAAATTAGTGGGCTGAGATGAAGTGAAAAATAAAAATAGAGAAACAAATAAAACGAGTAGACAGTGTATCTCGAGCGTGGGTGGATAATAAAATGGAAAATTTGCAATGGTAAAAATGACTGGATTATCCAGAGATGAAGTTTGCTAGAGTGATAAGACATGGTAACGAAGCAGTAAATAACTTTTGTAATTGATAATTAATGATTTTGTCTTTGGTTGCGTTATTCGTGTTAGGTGGCAACTTCCTGCTTGCCATAGTAGTGCTTCCATGGTAGTTTTCATGCCAAGGCCCAATCTTAGAAACCATGAGTGCCCTTCACTTACGAAAAATAATAGCCGCGCTTCGTTTAGGTCAGAGTTTGGTGACCGTAACGATGTGGTGGTTGTTACCTTGGCCGAAGTTATTCTGCGCTGGTGCGCTACTTCCGTGTGGGGTTAGGGAAGCCCTTATTCGCGAGCAGCTTATCACGCCGGCATATGCCTGCCTGTACTGCTTGTTCATTATCACGTATATTATGGGATTGACGCAGGATGCGAAATAGAGTAGAAGGTAGCCCAGCACGTGGAATTCTGAAATGTCAATCGATTATTAATATGCAGAGGGTTGCGTGATATATCCTGTGGATATCCAGTTCGAGACTATTCACTTTTTACAAAGATGGCCGCATTGCTCATTGTGGCGATGTAATTTATGTCTCGTGTGATATTTACATTATTTCTAGTTAACATACCAGGATGCTTGACTTCCGCGTCAGCGACCTTTGCAATTGTAATGGGAAGGTAGCATGCGACGAAACTCAAAAATATAGCGAGGACCATCTTCGTGATTCGCCATTCGCTTCTGCGCTGCTTTATCTCGCGCGTGTCTCTCCCCGGGGCGTGAGGTGACTTTATGGATGGACCAGCGTGCTTCCGCATTCTCGACTCCGAGCTGGAAAAGCGAAATTTGTGGAATTCAGTTGAGGAACTCGCGGGAAGGAAAGGGAAGAAGGTTCTTCCGAAGTAGTCGATCCTCTACGCAGCTTTGGGTTGGAGGAGAGGAGCGAGAGAGGAAGAGCGACGCCTCAGGGGGTGGCTCTAATTGAAATGGCATCAGAAATATATACTGGCAGTGTTAGGCACCAGGGTCATCCCTTGCTATGAGAAAAATCCAAAGCACGTTAACAACCGGCGAGTCTGACATTGCCCAATTTAATTCAGGAGATTCTTCCCTTTTTTTCCTTTCATGAGATTTTAGTAGCTAGAGAAAATATTCTTTTTTTTCCAGTACCTGTGAACTACCCAGAATATTTTGGCGTAACAACCCACGATTACTATGCAGGGTATCAGGAAACCCATGACAAAGAGGAAGGTCTTGGGACTGTGCCCATGGGCGTCCTTCACTATAGAGCAGGTCTCCAGGTTGACGTCGTAGTCGAATCTACCTGGAGAGAATAATGTTTTCGATTGTATTTATTTTAGCATACGATTTAGCATTAGACGAAGAAAAGGTTGAACCTTCTAGGGGCGGAACTGAACTTACCCCAGACGCCTAGGAGCGTCGGAACCTGCATGCCGTAGGAAAAGACCCAACAAAACAGGATCATCAGGGCAATCCAGTGCTTCTTGTAGACCCTGCTGTAGATTCCGTGATGGGCAATCATGATGTATCTGAATTTCAGGATAAAAGTGATATTGCAAATCTCTACGTAAAACGATTTTCTCTCTGATAGCCTTAAGATTCAATAATCGTACCTATTGACAGTGATGGCAGCAACAGACAGGAGACTCACGCCGACATTTCCATACCTCAGGAACGGCACCAGCATACAGAGGAACCTGACGTCGGCCCAGCTGGCGTCGATGAAGCGTATAGAATCAAACGGCAGGACCAGCAGACAGAAGATGAAGTCAGCCACGCAGAGACTATTAACAAGTCAAATTGAAACGTCATTGAGATCCCGGCTATGGGAATCTACGAGTACGATGTATCCTGGTGATACGTCACGCTACGTGTCTCAAACCGGATGTGCCAATCTGTGATTGGGGCGTGATGCGATATTCAAAGGTTTACTCTAGGGAAAGGACTCTGGCCCAACCGGAAGGCGCGGATCGATTTGCTCTCTAGGAATTACAGAGGACGAGGGTCTCCCCACGAGACGTAATCCAGAAAAACGCCAAAGACAGAGAGTCATAAGTTGAGAGATAAAATCCATCGATTTCGAAAAAAAGCACGTGCAAAGTTTCTCAAGGCCATAAGTTAATTCCAGCAGAGCTAATGGGACGTAGGAAAATATTCCTAAACGGTAAATTAAACCAGAAGCACGTGGGAGTTCAGAGTTTGAAAAAAAATAAACCAAAATGGAGGGGGGACAATGTCAGGCCAAGGACTTTGGCTGAAATGATCTCCGGAAGCGTCGCGACGTTTTGCAATTCTCAGTGAAGAAGGAAACATGTTGAGACTGTAGAAAATTAATTTTTCCACGGTATATAAAGATACATTTTTACAGTAAGATGCATCAATATGTCTTACAGAAACGTATTACGTTTGTCAAGTGCAAACAATCGTATTCCGAATGATTCTATTTCGAAATTCAAATAAATTCAGGTAGGCGCATCGACGGTTCCGGAATGTCAAACTTTTTCCATTTTCCCTTTCAGGAACTGTTCGCATTATGATTACCTCGGTCGCCGACTGTTTGGGATTCTCTACTTCCCTTATATCCCGGCTTGGATCTAAAACGCATGACACTTTAACGAGTTAGTAACGTGTGACCCGATTTCCAAGCACCAAACTTTCCATATTCCTTCCGTTCTCATGTTTAGCTCACGAAAAAGTACTCCCACCACTTCCGGAATAAAATTCTTCCCTATTCGAGGACGATGATCGGGTCATCAGGACACCGCACTGTAAAGTGTTTCGAACCAAACAGAGAATATCTATCCTTATTTTTCATAATCTTGCAAGGACGAACCTGATGAAATAAATTACAAGGGGCGATGAAATTAATTAATAAAATAATCCGATAAGATTTAATCAATGAAACCAAGCTAAGAGAAAAGGATAACGAGGGGCCCTAACACAGTATTATCTACCTCAAGTACAAATATCTTTAAAAGTGTCAGCCAAGTGTCCTTATCCCTCTCTCGACAGAGCTCGATAAAAAAGAAAAGACTAAAATCATCTAAAAAGTTGAGCTCTCAGGCTAAGAGTACCTAATGATAAAAGCAGCGGCGACGTTTCGTACTTTGGGGTACTTGATGAGCGCTACGATGGTCATCAGATTTCCAACGAGGCCGACGATCATGATCAGTATAGCAACGACAGCAGCGAATGATCTCAAAGGCTTTGGAAACCTGAAAAGGATACGAAAATTAGGTACACGTGGGTATAAGAGTACAGGTTATTGTGTTCATGCTGGAATAACGAACAAGGGAGAAATCCCAGCTAATAAAGAGAACGAGAGGCGATTGGGTAGAGGGCGCTCTCGTTAGCGGCACACTACTGTCTACAATTATCAGAGGAAAATTGCCAATAGACGAAATCTTAGTCCATTTCCATGTGAGAAGTTGGCAGTACTGCTGGGACTTTTCGAAGTCTAAGCCAACAAGCAGTCAGTATAAAAACATAAAACAGACTTTGCTCATTATTAACAGACACCATGACGACTATCATAATTTCCATAATAAATTGAACCTCTCTAGGTAACGATACTTGCCTCGACATGTTGTTGTCGATTATCGTATTGTATTTAGCTGTTTCTGTAACATCGGTCACCCATAACGCCATGTTATTCTCCATCCTGCCTAGTTTCTCACTGACGTCTTCGATTATTCGGCAAAACTAGTTTCGAGCTCCACGCGTGCATCCGGATTCTTCCTTGCCAGCGAAGAGAGGCTGCTAGCTGAAACAAAAGAGCAATACTATTAGATAAGTAACCTTCTGATAATTTCCACAGGATGGCTGCGGCCAGCGATACTCCCCACCCTCCTCTTAGTCGCGCCGCTCCTCCAAGGAAATCGAAACGTATTGTGCCGCATTTATTCCCGCACGAGCTTACTCATCGAATTCTATCGAGTTGGCCTCGTGTCGTGTGTGTCGTGTGTGTCGTATGTTTACGCGATTTGATCCACTCGATCTTCGCTACGTCTCATGAATAATCTAGCGAATGAGACTGATCAGAGATAAGGTTCGTTCGAAGTAACTTCAATAAGGAATATCATCCCTTATGGAAGTACCTGAAGAATGTCTAATAATCACTCTAAACGTCTTCTACTGCGATTGGCGTGTCTTTCTTTACAGGTTAGATTTTACTATTTTTATACAATGTCAAGACTGTTTCTGATCTTCGCGCACAGGAATTTTAGTACACTGTATGTATGTTATGTCTACTGGAACATGTGTTGAACGTTGACAAAAGGTGAACACCTGAAATTCATGTACTTGAAGTAATAATGGTGTATGCTTGCTAGATGTATACATCGCTGTCCACATAATTTGTGTGAAATTTGTAGATTCTAATAAATGATCATGAGCCCTCATGCTTGCATCTTGATCCTAGATGCGCTCTGACGATGAGCAAAGACAGCATGCCGGCCTATGGGGGTGCTGGATTTGGTAAACTAGGGTTAAGCTGCACAGCATTAACCTCGATTGAGCTTAATTAGGAAAAATTAACGAACACCCGTTATGTGTCCCCTTCCTAGGAAATAAAATAAAAAAACTTTATGAAACATGAAAGTCGAGCCATGGGAACGCGAGAGGAACACACTGGGGGCTCGGTGACTATCAATGACAATATGACTAAAGTTTTCAAGCTTTTTTTTTTCATATAAAACAGCCGAAACCATATTGTCACACTGTTGAATCAATGACAATGATCATTTCTCAAGTATTGTTCACGTCGTCTTCATTTTCACAGCAATGCAACACGTATATTACATATATGTATATGTATTCCATATACGGATTGTGTACCAATAGTCCTTAGAATGACTCAATACTTCCTCTTTCTGAGTATTTTTCCCCTTCTCTTATATCACCGACTGATACAGCTAGAGAAATGACATTCTGAGGAATTCCTGGTGACTTCATTGACGTCATCAAATGATTCCCGAGTTAATCATATGAATGGCAACGAGTGACTCAACTTGACTCACGGTGAAAGTACCACGCGCCTCAATTTCCGTTGATGGTGAGGATCCACTTAGCTGCTAGATCACTATAGGTACCATTTCGTGTATTTTATCATGTAAAGCATACCTATCGCATTACGTGTGTACTAAAAACAGGTGAAGAAAGTCATTCCGATGATCGATAAAGCCAAGAAAAAATTTATATCGAATTTCAAACTTTTTCAAACCCTATCCTCTTACACCTTCCTCTTCCTTATCTACTGACACGTGACGAAGAGGCCTCTAAGATTGAATAGGCTTAATCTAATCAGACCCTAAATATTTACAGGATCGAAACGGGATTGAATTTGTGGGTTGAACAGAATCGAAATTTAATAGGCAAACATAGCTGAAAGTTAAAAGAACGCGCTTCTCTGTATCTCTCTCTCTCTCTCTCTCTCTCTCTCTCTCTCTCTCTCTCTCTCTCTCTCTCTCTCTCCATGTATATATATATATATTCTTTGAAAGCAACACTAAATCAATCATCGAATAACGTTACTTTGATGCTTTATTCTATCCTCGGCCACAGGCAATATATTCCTCGTGACGTAGATCAGGCACGAACGAGGCTTATACCCTCTATGTACAACGTATCCTGGAATAATTTAGTTAATGAGGATAATTAATATTCACAGCGTTGCATTGGTCCCTATAATCATGGTTTGACAAGAAGGGACAAGTGTATCTTACCAGAATACTTTTTTCTCGTCTTTCTTTTTCTTTCTTCTTCTTTCTTCTTCCAGTACGTCAGACTAAGCCCTTCTTACTGTTGGCGGATAATGTGCTTCTCAGCTGTGCTACTTTGAAGCACTTTACTCTCCTCTTCTCTGGTACACTCTCCTTTCTTCTTCCTCTTCTTCTCAGTGATCAGTTCTCTCCTAAGTGATTCAAGTGATCTTGAATCGAGCGATTAATCCCAGGGAGTGCGGTGCCTTCGGGTGCCACGGTTTTGCTTGGCTAGACAGAGTGCACTTAATAAAGAGGAGAATGAGAAAAGAATCCATGCAATTCAGTCATTCGGTCACACTCGAGTTAAGCCGTCTCTCACTTTTACTTAATATTTATTAACCGATAATGGCAACGCGCGTTATCACGCAGTAACCCACTGCTAACACTCTACAATAATTACCATGTATTCTCTTTTTTGAAAAATCACTACACTTTCTCTATTGAAACTCTCCCGGATGGTGTTAACCAGTTTTCTCCGTCAATTTAATCAAGAGAATAATTTCGTTAGTAACCAACAATTCACTTCAGTGTTTTAAGTCACGAATTTTCAGTACCGAGTTACTTCCTTCCTTATTCCACGTATCACGTCACGTTGGACTTTATAGTAGGTGGCGATTTTATGTGATAGGTATACGTGATTGGAATACTTTATGAAGACCGGACAGACTGTTGACCGGTATCCTTTTATCGTTCAGTGTTTCAAAGTCGCGCCATTCTGCACACCTTGCTGCTGGCGATCGGCACAAGTGTCACCAAATGACTGCTGGGACTGCTGGGACTGCTAGGTCTGCTGGCTCTGCTTACTACTACTGCTTACCGAGCATTCTGTCAAATCGTTCTCGCTACGGACGGCGTTACTATAGCTGTAGTGTGGTAGACGCAGTAGCAGTGGTACGTGGTGGGGGAGTCGGCCGATGACAAACCTACTGAACTCTCCCATAACCCATGTGGCTGATGCATAGAGCCATTAAGAGCGGCGGCTGCAGTTGTGTGCGAAAAACGTAATCTAGAGTCGAGCCGTTGACGCTGTAAAACATTTTGACTGGTTTATGGATTGACCGGTGGTTTATGGTACTCGATGTTACCTAAAGCCGGGATTAGGTGCCCAGGTGTCACTTTTCACAGGGACGAGGACCTCGAGATTCTGCACAAATTCCTGGGGGTTACAAACCCCCTTCTCGTTTCTCTGCTTCGATTTTCCTCCAGTCGTTTACCTTTTTTTCATCTTATTTTATAGAACTCGATCCCTTGTATTTTTTTTGCGTATTTCTTCAAGTTCTATAGGATGCGGGAAATTGCTAGAGAAAATTGAGAGTTTTCTTAGAAAGACGATCAAACCTTCTCTTGAACCGTTTACCACATATTGCTTAAATCTTTTTTTTTTCTCACTTTGATGGATATTCCTGTCGTTTGCGTTTACAATGAACAATGCCAAAGACAAAATTGAACTGTCTCGCCTTCATTTCATAGATCAATTTCTTTCGACGATATAGAACCATTCAGGTATCAGCTATCTTGGTTGAGTTCCGAATCTCTTATGCAAGTATACATAGGATGAAAAAAATTATGTTAATCGGCATTATCGCTTTCCAACGCACAATTCGTCCCCCAGTGTACGCGCCTGTAACAAAATGTAATTATTTTTAAAAAGGATGTAGGGACAGCATCCAACCCACATCCCAGCTCCCATTCCATTCCATACATCTACACCCTCCATGACCGTACAGTCTACGTGGCTAAACTTCTGTATATAACGTAGAAGCATTCTCAAAGTCTCTAATGTACGTTATTAAACACCAACGCAATAGCTGCTGGAGACGCACTGATTCCCCCGGTGTATTGTATCTCGAAATCCGAGTCATTGTAGGAATTAACCTGAAGCTACCTAGAACTGAGGTTATACATAGTTTTACCATACCGTATACATAGGAGTGTACAGATCATATATGTATATGAGTGGTTTACTAGATTACCTGTAACTCAGAGTTTAGAGAACTAAGTTTGTTGAGAGAGATTTTCAAAAATCTTCACACCTGGCTTACTGCGTCACGGTCGTTTGGATGATTTTGAAAAATTCCATGTGTCAGATTTATTTATCCTTAAGAAAATAATTCTTCTTTGTCAGAGCAGGATAAGAGAACAATTGTGAGAACAATAAACAGATGACAGTAACTCCATGGATTTTTATGGTGCCGAAACCGCAACACGTGTTACTGTATGTTTTTTCATGGTCGTCCAACATGGAATCGAAAGCAAATAGTGATTATAAAAGTTTCAACATATGTGTCATTCCCTTGGTTGTCACATATGGGACTATTTTTTCCTCCTCCACCTCTTTTACCTCCGACAACGCATTTCTTTTAGGTACAGCTCGTTTATTTTTGTCCAGCCCTATTTTCGGCGACCCTTTCAAAAATTTCACATGGAAATTCTATGACTCTTCGCTCCCATCTTTTTTTTCCTCTTGATTCTCCTTTGTGCTCTTCCCGTTAAACGTTTGGCGGCGTTTGTACTTGCCCTTCTTATGTACGTGCAGACACACTCTTTATCGGTATTTTAAAGCATGGATATCCTACCGGGAAGATCCTGGACTTCGACCACAGAGTTAAAACGCAAATTTCTTCACAAAGCGGATGAACGTGTCAGGCATTGCCGTCATATCCTAAGAAAAGTTTAGTGCACGTATCTTTTCATAGAATCAACCGTCTTATCGATAGATTGTTATAATGACCGCTATTTGGCCACACGGGAAAAAGATAACCATGTTTAGTAGTATTGTTAACAGTAAGTTCCAGCAATGAAATCCTACTTTGCAACAAAATATATTCGTCACTAACCAACCCAGTAAGGATTTCCTTCGAAACAATAATGGTTCCTAACATCTAGATATAATTTTGTACTATTCCACGCTGTTCATTACCCACTTTCTATGTTAGCTGGAACTCGCTGCAAATCAGTCTCTTAACCATTACTGTTCTCTTTTTTTCGTGAATGCAAGATGTGAACTGGTAAAAGGACTACTAACGAAATCATAAGTAGGTTTTCCAAAGAGTACTAAAATACAGCTTTTAGTCTTAATAAAAAGGGAATTTGAAACATAAGAAGGAAGCGTAATAAAGTATATCCAAGTTTCGTTGAGTCAGGTTAAGAAAGAAATTTCAACGGAAGGAAGTGGGACAGACCGCGAGCGAGGATAAGACGCAGTCGAATGGCTTTAACTGGAGTTTCTTTAATTGCAGACAAGAATTCCGAAGGAAATGGACGGATGTGGATCCGGGCGAATTTACGAATCATAAATAAAAACTTAAAGATGTTTTGCGCAGTGAAGGATCCTGCTGGGAGTACTTACTGCCATGAGACCATTTCTTCGGGTATTTCCGTAACCCGTCGTGAAGTCAAAATTGATGCTGTCATGTAAAACCGCGTGGGGGGAGAAGTCTCTATCGGTAATTAAACTTCACTCGATTGACTTCATGACTCCGCAAAGGTAATCAACAAATTCTAAAGGGAAGTTAACGGACCGATTCATAGCCGATCAGTGCATTACGTTCAGGCAGAATGTCCTTTATATTATATCAATTGACTTACTTATCTCCCTTAGCCAATATGGCCGCCGTTCGTCTTTATACGTTTATACCGCTTCTATCCCTATAACTTCTATGGTCGTGTTCACTCAGCTGCATCTATCCGTGCATACACCTTGGTCTACAGCTGTCAAATTTCACTGGATTTGCTAAGATAGACTTGTATATTCTCACTTGCATCTTTTTATTGTGTTGATCCGGTGTTTTGGCATAAGTGACGTTTCGTTCCTTCTGTTACCATGGACTGTGTGTACTGTGCTCCGCGGTAGCTCTAAAACGAAGTAGCAGCTAAGGAAGAAAACGGATTTCCAGAAGCTGGGAAAAGTTCCAGAAGGGTGTTCCGAGTCGTTGCTTCTCGCGGAACGTTCTACCGATGACGCAATCAATTACGCCTGCTCAATTTGCGACTCGACAGCCGTGCTTTGGGTTCCTAAGAGAATGGGAGGACGGAAGGAAGAGTGCAGGAGGGAGGAAGCTCGAAGGATTATCGAAGGAAAGATGGCCGTGGCTCTGAGCAAAAACTCCGGATGTCCGTTTAATCAACCCTTTACCCTGAGCAAAAAGGCTGAATCTCGCGGATCCCTTAATGCGACTATTTCGTTACCAAGCCGCGGAGAACTTTCTTTCGGTACTGAACGAGAATCACTTGTTTCCTTTCTCCCTTTTCTCCTCCTTTTTATATCACTTTTTCACTCTTTTCATAGAAAACTTTGCCAGTCTCCGAACACCGCACTGGGATTTCGGCCGGTATGGCCGTACTGGCTCCTGCCACTGAATATACTTTGTTGTCTGACAAAGGGAAAACAAAGAGGATTAATGTCAACTCCACGAGCTAGGCTGCCCGGCAGACGTCGGTGAGTGTCACCATCTATCGCAAGGCTGACGAGCTTGTTAATACTTGCACCACACAAAGACTCACGAAATATACTTCATTTTACAAGGGTCCTACGGAACACCAAATGTATACATATACGTAACAACGAGAAACTACCTAAACGTCACGTGACACTGGTAATAATAATTCTCCTCCGTTCCTGGCCACGGTTTAGTAAACTCAAAATTCTAAATAGCCTCCCAGTCACGAAATCTCATTATTAAACAAAAACCTCGCAAGCGTCGCTTAACGTTTTCCAGCAATTTCTAAAGAAAATTTTCAAGTCACTTTATACAATTCAAACGATACAGTGTAACCAGCAGTACAGTTTACTGCAGGACCAGAAGGAAAGATCATTCGTAATCCAGATACACATACATCATTGGATTAACGATTTCTCGAGTAATATTCAAAGCGAACAATATCGCCTAGATCATCCTATACGTTTTGTCCTCCATTAAACTTTCCTGTAATTCCATCAAAGCAGCCATAAAGTCCAAGCAAAACTGTGCGAATCACTCGTCCTCATTTTTCACGCACTTTGTTCGCACCTACTAATATTCCTCTAAAATGTATCTCAGTGTATCTCAGCGTATCTCTGTGTATTTCTGTAGGCACCTGTGTATATCGTCTGTGGTTCCGTGCTACATGCGTGGCTTCCGTGCGGTCTACATATAACACGTCTACGTATGTCTATATATCTATATCTCTGTGTATATACAATTGCATACGTGCGTCCGATGAAAATTGTTTTTCTCCGAGATTATTGCTCGACGCGCAAGCGCGTCCCGTTGCTCGCTGGACCAGGAACTCACTAGGTCTGGAGTGGAATCGCGTTAGTCGGCTCGCGCTCCTCATCGAAGGAGGTGTCGTCGTTAAGTCAGCTCGTTAGCCTCGCGGCTTTATTATCCCACGGTCCCCGAGCCACGTGATTCTGCTGCGACATTTTTTGGAGAAAAGAGACTATATACTCTGTATAAGCAATAGGCTGATAGAGCAGCTGCAAACTAAAGTCAAGAGAGAGAGAGAGAGGGAAGTGGAGATTCGATTCGATACCGAATGGATAGATTTCAGAATGTCTTCTTCATCTTCCTCCTCTCAATGACAATTGAGCGTAATACATGAGGACGAGTGACAGGATGAGTTTTAATCTTAGAAATCGACAGAGCATCTTATTGGATGCTTGTTAAGAGCATTAATAAAATTTGACGAGACTCTCGGAAGCATCTTCTTCCGAATATAACTCAGGACCGGAAGTCTAAGGCCATTCACGTAGACGCGTATTCCACGCGGCCCGTTACTACTTCCATGTCTTGGAAAAATAAGCTCTGCTCTTTGAAAACTTATCGCATCGTCTTCACCAGGTCACTTTTCAAATTTTACATCGAAAAGTATCGGTCGTAATTGGTCGCTGCCGTGTCGGAGGTATGTGTTTGTAAAAAGGGCGGGAGATTGTGAATTTTCAAAAGATTAATTTTCTCTCGTAAATTTCACTCGAATGCACGCATAACCGCTTTAATAAGACAAAGCCATAAAAAGCAGAGGGAAACTCTGAAGGATCGAAACGTAATAAAAGGCTCTATCAATCCTACCAACCGTACGGCTCTGGTTGTCGCAGCACGACGTCAGCTGTTAAGTTTCGCGATGGTTTACATTCCGAAGGCAATCTAAAAGTTTCGAATCGGATTCCCTCCGGTCCGGGCTGGGCGCGCAAGGCCCGGCTGCATTGAACTCCGCTCAGTGAGACTTTCAAAGTCGCGGGCTCTCAGACTCGCCATGTGTTGCCCGGACGGCTGCTGAGTATCTACCTGCTCGACCCGAGACTCTAGACTCCTCAAGGTAAATTCAATCAAGCTTCTAGAACACCTCTCGGTTGCCTGATACCATTAATTACTACGTCATCCTAACTCAATCCAAGTAACTTCGGGGACAGTCACACACGTACGTACCTACGGGTTATTTCCGGTATCTCTTTTTTTTATTGGCAGTCCTAGGACAAACGTTAAAAACTTTTCAAGTGAAATTACAAATATGCCGAAGCTGCTCGATTTTTCTCAGAGATGGAGACACGCTGATCTCCTGATATTATTTTCCCTCGAGGATTTATTATTGGGTTGTCTTGTCAAGGGCGACGCGCATGCGTGTTTAAGGGCACAGTCAATGAGAGCGGCTGTGAGAAAATTGGAGAATCTCTAAGAGGGGGATAGGGGGGAGGGAGAAAATAATTTTTTGTGAAAACACACATATCTTCACGTGTGCGTCAGACCAATAAGACCTCTTCCCCTCTCGCGTATATTTGTTTGACCAGTGATACGCCTGAAAATTTTTAAACATTTACTCTCCGCGGAAAAAGTTTATTTTTTCGGTAGCAAAAATAGGTTCCGTGAGTGGGGCCTGGGGCCCCCCCTTGTCCCTTCCTCACCCCTCCCCGTCTTCGGCGTCACCGCAGTTACCTACCCTCCTGCACATAATTTTGTCCCTACTAGAGCTATCGCGCAATACCGGCAATCTCTCTCTCTCTCTCTCTCTCTCTCTCTCTCTCTCTCTCTCTCAGTCCCCCTTATCCTCTCGAAGCATCTCGCGACTCGTGAGCTTTTTACGAATTTTTTATCGCAGAAATTTATAAATTCAATAGAGTCCCGTAACGGAAAAGGAATAATGGGATTTATTTGATGTCTTCGGAATGGCTGCACGTACTTTTTACTCTTTCTTATGTCTCCATTCAGTTGAATTTTTCTTCTCTCGCGATTTCGTCACGAGAACTCATCGATCCCTTTAGCCAACCGGATAAACGAATGTAGTAAATTTATTCAATGCGTCCCTCGTTCTCCTTCACCTTTTTTCCCCTAATATTCTAGCACAATGTTTACCCCCCTTCGTCTGGATCGTCCCGTCGGACCATTTCCAAAGTATAATCGTCCCCTTCCACGAGGAAAGTGCAGACGAATACGTGGAATCCCCCGCGGGATTTCCCATGTCAAATGAAAACTGCATTTCGGTGCTTTCCGCCGGTTCGTCCTTTTACTTCCGGTCCTTTAGGCGGAAGTACGTCGACCCGGAGTTACTGCCCGCGTGGGCGTACATTCTTATTGGACCTGGTGCTGAGTTTTATTTTTTTTCTCTCTTTTTCCATCGATTCCCTTCGAGAAAAATATACATTTACAGGGAAATATTTGAGGGCTACCAACGCACCCTTTCCTACTCAGGCTTTACTATAACTTTCGAAATATTACAACGTCCCTCGTGAAATATTTTTGGACCTTCTCGTCATAGTACTTTTATGCGTACGTACCTATATATATATATATATAGATAGACAGACGAACACACGTGCCAGGACGTGGGGAATTCCTACAGCTCCCAGCAGGACACGTAAACGATATCGATGCCGCTAACGGGTAAAACTTAAATTGCCATTTATGAGGGTTGCGGGCGGCAACCCTTATGGGTTCCCATGAATTCCACAAGTTTTTCCCAAGAACTGCCGCTCGCTCGACGAGAGTTCTCCGTGCGTGCAGTAATTCCCCCGATGGCAGGGACATCCCGAGAACGTCCCTGGGAGGTCCTACATTCATTTCTGAGACCTAACAAAAATTACGCAACGATCCTCCTTCGACCGGCAGGTTCATTGAACGCCGAAAAAACTGAAATCGGGTTACTTGCATTTTATAATACAAAAAATAAATTTGATTCGTACGAATCAGTATGCCGAAGTCGTCGGTAAAGTCTTGGAAGCGCACCTGGTGCATGCTAGCCCCCCGTCAGGCGCGTCCCGGGTCTCCCGGTTGTAAAATTGGCCAATTTTCTCAGGACGGAGCAAAGAGGACACGGAGAAGACATCTTTGCATTACTGTCGGCACTTAGGGATATCTGTAAAGCGAAGTGCAGGTACACGCGGCCCGCGTGTCTTTTACGTTGGCAACACGTTCGCCAGCAGCCGAGCACGTGTGTGGGAAATTGAAATAGCCTCTTGCCAATATCCCAGATGCATATATAGACGCAGGTTCGGGACATGCACCTGCCGGGCTTCACTTTCCGAAGACGAAGCACGTATCCTCGGCAGTCGATGTTTTCTCCAGGAAATATGATACAGGGAGGACATTTATCGGGAATGCGTTTCCCCGGCTTATCAGGCGTCTGACTTATATAGAAGGTTTCACCTTTCTCGTGGCGTACCTACCTACCTACCTACCTACCTATATGTCCCTTACGTGCTTCCTGTCTCCGTATTCGGCCTTCCCAATTTTATCCGGTGCATGTACGTCCCTTTAGATACACGCACCGCGACGCTTGGCGTGTACCCTCTGTATTATATGTGCATATGTGCAATGCCAGAGCTCTGTACGTGAACGTTTCATACTTGACGAAGCGATACCGTCCAAGGCGATATTCTCCTTATTGAGGAAATCAAAAGAAACAAGAAAGAGTCCAAATTAAAGACACGTATATGTTGTCTCAGGCCACGTGCCTCTGTATACAGCTATATATTTTATTCCTAAGCGATTAACGTCCATTTCGTCTTTTTCTTCGGTCTCAATATAAAAATCGAACAGTCCTGCCCACTCGATACCGTAGAGCCATTCTACTCCAGGTATTTAATTAGTGACTTCCGCTCCTAATTTATTTCCTACAGATGTTGGAGTACTGGATGGCCAACAATGCTTCCGGGGCGAACGGAAGTGAATTCGAAATCGAGGAGGTCCTCGAGGATCCCGGCTCGGCCATGCTCTTCTCCGGCTACCCGGCCTGGATTCTCTACTTCGCCGCCGGTTGCTGCGTCCTCTTCATGTTCATCGGGATTCCTGGGAACCTCATCACCGTCGCCGCCCTCTTCCGCACCAAGAAGGTCTGCTTTGCTTTGCTTTGCTTTGCTTCCCGAGCTTCCTGCTTTCTGTTTTACCTGCTAGGCAATGGAGTAGGTATTCACGTGCAGGTGTATCCGTCAGGAGGTCCAAACACGGGGCAAATGGACGTCGCGACGCTACCGCCAATTCTGTCGCACCGTCTAATTATTATTATTATGATACAAGCGCGCTCATTTGTCAGGCAATTAATTCGAGTGGTACTCTCGGCGAATGCGAAATTACCCTCTTACTCACCCTCCCCCCTCCTGCCCCTACTGCTGCTGCTGCTACTCCGCAGGGATGAGGAAGATTTGAAAATTGTACGACACGTGGAGTAACGATTTCTTCGATAAAATAAAGACTTTTCTGTTTACGATGCGCCATTTAAAAAGTATCTTTCACGTGAATGGACAAAAAGTAAATTGCACGGCCGTCGATCCTTCTTCGCGGACAGAAGAAGCTTTTAGGAGGTTTGAGCTTAAAAAGCTCTTTCGAATTGCATCACCGTAAGCGGAATAAGTAACGTGGAACACTGACTTCCCGTACTTCCCGTACTTCCCGTACTTCCCGTACTTGTCGTACGGCAGGGTGTTGACGTGTCGACTTTGCCAGCCGCCATTGACGTCCTCGTTTCGGAAACTGCTCCGTAATGAAGTGAAGGTTGAATTTCTTTTGGCTGAACTTACCGGCCACCCAGATTCGTCCGTCCGCCAGCCGCGTTGCAGCTCGGCAATTGCCAAAGCGACTCGACAATCTCCGTAATAGCTTCTGTTTCCCTAAAGGAAATTCCGCTTAATGGCCGCGCTAGTGTTAAACGACCTAATCCGAAGCGCCTTAATTGCAGCCGCGTCTCTCTCCGACTTTTGGCCCAGTGCAGTCCAGAGCGGAAGGTTTCGCCAATGCCAATGCTAAAATTCCACAAGTTCCATCGATTACCTCATCGTCCCGAACCGACAGATGTTTCCCACAATTGCATAGCAATCGCCTCGAAATACCTTGGACTCCCTCGGAAATTCCCCATAGCCGCAGCTCCCGGGTCATTGCCCTTCGACTTCCGTCCTCTTCGAATTCAAACAATTCCCTAGTAACTTTCCCCCAGTCTTCCCCGGAGACTGGGTTACCTGCGACAGAGCAGTTATCAATGAGACACAAGGAAAAGAGAAGGAAAACCGTCCGTAGGATCCAGAGTCGGGTAACGGAGACGCAGCCTGTAGTCCGGCTTTTCCTGTAGTCCCTGAGCTCTCTCTTTGAGCTGTGCTATATCTCGCGCCCAGAGCGGAAGTCTTCGTCGCACTTCCGTCTTTCCCAGCGTCTGACTTCGCGCTCCGTCGAGCGCTCGCCGTTGCATCCAGCGGAGCCTGGAGGGCTCTCAGTAATGTCTCCTGCGGCTGCGCGAATACACAGAGAAAGATTTAACCAGCGACAGGATGCACATTACGTTTTATCTTTATCCAGTCCAGTCATCGCGACAAGCCTATCTAGGAGAATTGATTTTCCATAAAGCAACAAATTGACCAGAATAGAATTTTCAGAAGTTGGCCATTGCGCAAGGTGCTATGGACAGATTGCATCTACATTGTAGATTCTAGCATCTTCTAGAACATACGTATATCGCATGCGTATGGAGCCGATATATTCATCGATACTGTAGCTAGTTACAGCTAGTCACGCTACGGTAGTAAGACCAGTATAAAAGGAAGCGGTCGAAGGAGAATGCGAGAAAGCAAGAAATAACCCAAAAGCCCCTCCCTCCCTCCAGCCGGCGTTTCTGTTTACAATCTCCCATGTTCGATTACTATATTTAGGAAGTGGAAAAGCCAGTGGCTCGCCAACCACGTGCGCGATGGCCAGCTAATCCGAGCTTAGAAGGAAGAATCCTCAGGATTCCCTCCACCAGGTACTCCAGGGACGGAGCTTCATTGGATAGCCTGGAGTGGAGATGCTGGCTAATCGGGACTTGGAAATGGCAATAGTCCCCACTCCAGGGCACGGTCCACGCTCAATCTACCAATTTTATTAATATTCTCCTCCCGGCGATCCTAGACACGAAACACCAGCTCCGTCCGTCAGCTCCTGACGTCTGTCATTGGCCCTGGGATCTTCGCCCTGACAGCACTCGACTTGTCATCTGCTCCTCCACGAGAGCCAAAGTCCACTGGCTGGCACCTGCCCGTCGGATCTTCCACTCGACGTCTTCCTCGAGTCAGATGGATGTTTGACAGTGGAATGTCCATATCCGGTTTGTGAAGTTCACTCCGGAAATCCTAAGTAGACTGACAGAGTACTTGTTCTGCCGATTGGTCATTTGGGGTCGCTCGTGGTTAGACGTGGCACGAACCTTTCTATTAACCTAGAGTGAAAAACCTGCTGGACTCGGTGCACCCGGTGAACTCTGTGGACGGAAACTAGGATCTTCAGCGCTCATAGGCACTTTGCGGCAGCGTAATCTTGCGGTTTAAATGCATTGGCCTGTGATAGAGACGACCACGGCACTCCGGGTGCTCCTGGCTAGTGCCCTGTATTCGCTGTCCTGAGACCAATCCTGGGACTCGTAAACGGAGCCGGGCGTCGAGCAAAGTCTTTCCTTTTTCCTTTTTCCTTTTTCCTTTTGCAAAGGGCGTCGCACAGCGGTTCTGCTACTGGTCAGAGTATTTCAGTAAAATGAGGCCGATTTCACATATGCAGGAGGAACTCAATCAAGTGTCCTTGCTTAGTTAGCGGAATGGCGAATCGTCTTTGGGGTTTCGCAGGAATTGCTTTTGGTTTTTTTTTTTTTTTTTTAGAAATGAAAGATTATCAAGGTAGACAGGGTAAGGAATCTGGTCGTTCGTTGCATGTAGTCGTGTCTTCCACTTTTTGCCTGAGACTTCTTATGTACTTTACTTTATTCTTTATCTTTTCTTGCGGTTTTATCTCTCGCCGCGAGAGGTTGGCAAATTTTTGTTAAATTTTATTTAATCACGTCTGTAACTCGAATCTTTCTTACCGGAAGAGAATTCCTTTTTTTTTACTTTTACCTTTATCTCGTGCCTGCTATTGTATTACCAGAACGGTACCGTGGAGGGGAGAAAAACGCAAAAGGAAATTCAAGCGAAAGAGCGAGTAAACGAATAAGGAAGGATGGAAGGATGGAAGGAAGGAAGGAAGGAAGGAAGAATGTTTAAAAGGAGGCAAGTAGGTAAGTAAGAAAGTGGGCGCTGAGGGTGGAGCAGGAGATATCTTTGTCACGGGAGTCTCGAGGGCGGAGTGTAAAAGCGCATGAGAAGCGGGACTTTTGCACCCTTAAGTTTCCCACTGAAGTACTGAAGTACTCCGGCAAACGATAAACACCTCGTGGCAGCTCGAGATTTTCTAGCGACCCCGAAGACGAGATTCCACCTTTCTCAAGAAACGCACCCATCCTGTATTTTTAGCATTTTCGACGAAATTGCTGCTACACCTTACGTGCCTACATGTGAATCCGTATAGGGCTGTGACGTTTAACACGTAAAATTGAATTTTTCCGAATTCTCCCTTTTTCCCTTGTCCTCCCCTATTTCTTCCATTAGAAATACACCTTGAACCTCCCCCAGTGGCTAATAACACCCGAAGCAATATTGATTCACCCTCAAAACGCTTCTCAGCCTCGTTACTCATATCGGCCGCCGTAATTCACGCGGCGATATTTCACGAGCGAATCGCAAAGCGAAATAAAAGACAAAAGGAGGCGCAGAGAGAAGCAGAAGTGAAATACTTTACTTAAAGTTCCGACGGTCGATCAATTGAAAATCCAATTGCCGCTGGCTTTTTCGAATGGAATTTGAAAATTCATTCGGGTCGTTTGGTCAATTTCAAGAAAGAATCGCGGAGCCGGTAAGAGAATTATGAGCGGATTAAATCCACCCTTTGTCAAGGGCTGGATTCCAGGGGTGGCAGGACAACAGGGACGGCGAATCTCGAATGGCGAATGGCGAGTGGCGAATGGCGAATGGCGAATGGCAAATGGATAGGACGGAATGGTGAATTTTTTATTCTGAAATTTATGAAAGTAATGGCCTTCTTCGGCGAAAGTTATTGCGAGAGCTTCTACTGTCGTGGAAAAATGACTTTGGCCTGTCTGCTACCGGCTAATATTAAATATAAAAACCCTCCTAGGATCGAATATTCTAAGAAGGTGATCCGTAGATGCCAGCCATTCCTCTTCCTCTCGACGGACCGGAAACAAATTTACGAAAACGGTTATTAATTATCATTTTTCAGACAAACTTCTCTCCCGTCATTTCTCCTTTTTCTTATTTAATTTTTTATCACACCCTTCCACCTCCCGTAATACTATCCTGCAAAGTGCCACTTAGTTTCTCCCCCGTATCCCTGCTGCACCCTTTGATTCGCCCTTTGAGCCCGTTGATGTATACTACGTATATACATACCCTACCTCTTAAGTTCAACTTAAAATCGTGAAAGGGTAGTACGCACTTTCTTACCCTGAACCCTTGCGATTCGAAGCAGACACTCCCAACCCTTCGTGCCCTACAGCCTCGTGTAGCCTCGAAGGCTAGAATCTCGTCTGGCAAATAATTCGAAACAATCAAGAGATAAGCTCCTCCTCTCTCACGGACTGTTTTCTTTATGGAGGAGCCCTTCCGCAAGAACCGCCGGAACACTTGGGCCCTTTCACTTTACGAATTTACAGGAACCCCTCGCGATAGTCGTTACCCTGGTTTCCTGCAGGGGAAGAAACATCAGAAACATCAGAAACGTCGGCAACGTCGGCAACGGCCGTAACGTCCAGTTAACCTGCAGTTAAGTGATAATCGACAGTTGAGCGAGCGAGCAAGAAAAGATTTCCGAGGACGCCGATGATCGACTCGAGGTGGAAACGTCTCGTAGCACGGTGTCTCCTTTAAGCGACGACTCTATCGTTCATCCTGTCGTCCGCACGCATCCTCCAGGACTACCAGGGCGACCTAGCCCCATCCGGGGTCTATCTGGCACCTACACCCAGGAGCACCAGGCTCATCCG